TTATTGAACATCAGTGCTGAACAAGTGAAATTAAAACACACACTGCCTAAAACCAACAGTCACTTTTTGCTTGTAAAAAAGTTAAAATAAATAACTTGCACTTTTGGATACAAAATTATTTGTTTTCAATATTTTTCTTGTTAAAAGTAGAAAATAAGCAGTATCTCTTCTACATAAAATAACTCTTGTATATCCTGTAAATAATATTTTAAACAGTGCATTTCTTGCATTTTCTGTAAACAAATATTTTAATGTAAATAATAATTGTATCGTAATAGAAAATGTCGTCCCAAAGCATCTCTGGTGAAGTTTTCAATTATTGTCAATGTCGTGCAAACGTATGATGTGTAGTTACATTTTTTGAGAGATGTGTAGGTACAGTATGTGACCGCGCGAAAGCTGCATTGGACCATACCCATGCAATTAATGCAGAAGTATAAATCAGCCTTAACAGAGCAGGGTCACGTGATTCCTCACACGGTAAGGAAAGTAATTGAAAAAAATCACTTGAAAAAATCTGATTGCTTCTGAATGTCGATTTCGATTACTTTTCTATTAATTGCCCTGCCCTAACCGAAATACATCTTGCAAAATAACATGTACAGTACTACAGACGAAAAAGTGATTATTCAGCAATTGACCCAGCCCTACTACTCATATCCATGCATGCTTCTTGTATGAATGGAATGCATGACAAATCTCCAGAAATTGATAGTCTTTAAGTGAAACCAAACTCTTGCTTATATGAGTCACAGGCAACATTCCGGTGGTTACACTCATGACACAAGCAGATACAATGTTCCTCTCTCTCCCGATTTCCTACTTTAGAGATAAAAGTCCTTTGAAATCCCTTGAGAATCTGCTGTTGCAGCACAGCCTTAATTTGTCAATGATGCAATGCATGAATAATGAATTATTACTAGTTTCGAAAGCCTTCGTAAAATTTCAGTCTCAGTTTCAGTCTAAAATCCATCATCGAACTATGCCATAAATGTCTTTAAATGAATTTGTAGAAAATTAAAGTCAAAGAAGAAAAAAGAAGTTCTTACTAGCAAGGTCTGAAACGTCATTAAAAGTAGTTAAAATAAAAAAAAAAGCATTCGTTCAGGTGTTCCTTCCTAATGTTGGTGTCAGAAGGTCAAAGTCAATGCAAAGATTTTTCCAGAACATATTTTTTCCACAGCTTGGTATTGCACTTGTTGTCTTGAGAACAAATTGATCAGATGATCTTTTTTGGTGGAGTTTATTCACACTATAGCAAAACAAAACGGCTCATTTGGCTGTACATTTGGCTAGATTTGCTTCAATATAAGCTGGTTTTAAGTTAAACTGGGAGTTTTCGGTTTGGTATATAATTCAGTGACCTCATACATGAAGCAAATTTTGATCTCCCAATTCATGAGGTCTTTAAATCTTGCTGTGAGATTGAGGTCACCAGCAATGGACTTGTTGAGCTTGTTTACTCTTGACTGGGGCCAGCTTGAAGTTGCGTGTGTATGTGTCTGTTAGAAGTGGGACGAAGGTTATTGGAGACTGCATGTGACCTGACTTCCTCAATGATTGACATGCCAAACTCTATGACTGTGACATATGTACAGGCAGCCCATCTCTTACAGATCCTGACTTTACCATCATGTGGAATCACACACATGTACTGTAAATATTCAGCATTTGTTTGTCCAGATTTGCTCAGATTAGACAACAGCAATCCAGTGTAGTAGCTGTGCTTTAGATATAACAGAAAGTGAAAAAAGTGTATAAGAAGTTGGGCTTTCATAAATGGACACATACAGTAAGCTACATTTGTTCGACAGCCTCACTCACATTGTAAGCTATTTATATAACAGAAAAGTTGTAAATTTTCTTGAGTCATCTCCTGCACCTGTTAGGAAACTAGCACATGAAAATGAGACAAACATTATTAACAGACTGTTCCACTGACTAGCCTTAACAATCAGTGGAAAGGAATTTACATCCTAGGAAATACTGTGGTAAACAACTCTTGATCTGTTTATTGTGGGCTCTAATTTGGACGAGAAGATGGAACTTTAAGAAATATAGGAAACATCTGGAAAATACTTTTACCCTGCATGATTTTGTTGATAAATGTGTACATATATACGCATATCTTTACACATATATACCCCCCCCCCCAAAAAAAAAAAAAAAGAAAAAAAAATTTAAGTAAGGATAATAAATGATTTTAGCATGTTAATAGCCCACCAAAATACCAGTTTAATTGAATGAATTGTTCTTTACTTGTTTTCATATGGGCATGTTTATTTTTTTTTAAAGTTTCATTTTAATTCGTAATCATTATGTTAATTTTATTTTATGTCTTCTTTCCTTTTATATAATCATCATAAATGTCATAATTTAATTTAATTTAATTTAATTTAATTTAATTTAATTTAATTTAATTTAATTTAATTTAATTTAATTTAATTTAATTTAATTTTATTATTTTATTTTATTTTATTTTATTTTATTTTTATTTAATATATTTTTTTTATATTTTACTTTTTAATCATTATAAGCATCAAATCTTTATTTATATTATTTTATTTTAGCATTTTTCTGAATAATTTCTTTTGTGTCCTTGAGAGGAAAGAAAGTCATACATGTTGAAGTATAAACATTAACAGGACTTACAGTAAATTTTTGAGTGAACAGTGCCTTTTAAGGGTGCATTCATGCAAATTCACCAAATTTAGTGTTGTATTTTCATTATGTATTTATATAAAACTACATATTAAACTTATGCCCTACATAACCCTGATAACAAATATCAGGGTTATGTAGATGACAAATAGACAAGTACCAGACGAGACGGTGGGACATTCTCAAGCAGCACTGCCCCAACTTTATTACCCTCAAGACTGAGATGTCATTTCCTTCATTTAAATGCCTTATAAGAGAAATGCTATTTTGGTTAGCCCTTCAGATAACGTAAGGCTTTGAAACCGAATCCCCTGTGACATACTGCGAACGTCACTTTCTCCCACCGTCTCCACAGGTCATGTCAAGAATGTCAAGTACTTGGCTTAAATCTCACTTATAACAGTCTGACTTCAATGTGGAGGATGTTTGTGAGTCAGTTTTCTGTTAACTTAAGAGTCATTCAGTCCTCTTCACAGTTAAGGATAAACTATGATTTAAAAAATCTATTTATGGCTTTTATTTATGGCTATGCATCTTTAAAGAGAGTTAATCATGGACTTTCTGGCTTTTTCTAAAGTGTTTTTACAGTCTAATGTGAAGAAAACAACAGAAATTCAGTTTTAAGTGTTTCTTTTGTCATATTTTATTAATTTGTTTCTAAAGATTTTCGCTACATCCCATATTTTTTAAAGCCTGTTATGACTCTTCTGAGTATTTTCTGAATAAATGAATAATTTTAATGATAAAAAAGATTCCTAAAACCCTCTAGGTAAAAAATGAAGCTCCAAAAATTATTCATTTGTAATTGTTTTGAAATATCAATGCAATATATTAGTTAAAAATCCATCGGCGTTAGGTATCTCTGGGTTACTAAAGACCTGAAAAAGTTATAATTGGGGGCAAAAAATCATGCATTTATGGGTTATAGCAAGCAGCTGTAGAATACATTTGTTCTTACGTTTGAACTTTATTTTTATATATTGTATACATTTGTGCCTTAAAGGGATAGTTCACCCTAAGTAAAAATTCTGACATTTACTCAAATTTTTACTTTCATTCAAATGTCACAAAAAGGGAATCAACAGGAGGTTTAAACATAACTCATCCAATGTTCAGGGCTATGTTTCTCGCAACCTTCTTAAGGCTATGCTATTACTAATATGTTTTTCCCGCTTATATACCCTCTTTAAGTCAAAGTATGACATAAAGTATGATTTAAAGAGGGTAAGTCATACTTTCCGTCTGGACTCTTAGCTATACAGTACCTTATCAAAGCTTTTTTACAGTAGGTCTATGAAAATAACTATTTAATTTTATATACACCCAGTGTTTAATTAAGCTATAATAAAGAATTGTCCTTCAAAGATTACATTTTTTACATTTTTAAAATTTGGAAGGTTGGTGACAGCTGTAAAGAGCTAAATCTAAAGATGGCACCACCAGAAAAATCGAGTCCCCTGGCTACCATGAAAGAAGCTATAATAATAATAATAATAATAATAATAATAATAATAATAATAATAATAATAATAATAACTTAACTTTGTAGAAACAAACACAACCCTTAGCACTAAAATTCTGCTTCTTACATCTCCCTCTTTTTTATAGGCTACATGTGTAATTTTTAGAGCATTATTATCACAAACAAAATGCTAAACATTTCATTACAAAACTTTCAGTAAAATTTAATTTGCACAATATTAAAATACCCTAACCCATTATAGCAATAATTTAGGAGCAGCTGCAATAATTTAAAAGTATACAGATGCTGGGCTCATTACTAAATATCTTGTCATATAAAATATTTTCCGTTTTACAGAGAAAATGACAAAAAAATAAATGTAACATTTAAATGTCAATTCAATACCCTTTATATTAATACATAATATATAAAAACAGTTCCTTGCAGTTTTAACACATCAAACAATTCAGCAGGGATTGTATATAAGAAAGTAAACCTTAAGCAATGCTATACCTTTAGTTAAGATGAGTGTTCGTAGCCTAGAGACAACACTTTTGTTTTTTGTTGTTTTGCCCAGATTTGCTTGAATTGTAAGGCAATTAATGCAGATTTAATTGCATAATGCCTCATTTGCATATGTAAACATAACATTTTAGAAAACTTGTAATACAAAAAAATCGTTGCAATTCTTAATGTAATCAATCAACCTGTGACCTTAATTTGCCTTTTTTATTCTTTACTCAATTCATCTGCAGTATCTTGCCTAAACACTTTTCATATATGTGTGGGAAGTTATATGTACTTAATAATGCCAGAAACAGTGATTATATGTCTTCTAATGCCATAATTTCTCTTTCTTATTGTCTCATCTCAACAGCTGCATCACACTAAGGTATTGTCCTGGCTGTCAGAAAGATTTAGATTAAGATGCGTGCCACTTAAGATAAGGCTTTCATGCATGTTTCCTGTTTGCTTTTCCCCATAATCTGTGCCAAGTCTCGTGCGAAAGCCTCTTGGGATGCTGTGCTGGCTGTTTTCTTAAAAGGAAAAAAGGGAAAAAAGGGACCAAAATACTAGAGGCCACTTTTGCACACGTAATAGTGGTTTGTTATGTCACTGGGTGTTCCTCGGGAAACAAAACTTCTAGAACATGACGCTGTATAAATAGAGCGATATTCAAACACAAAGCCTGTGTTCGCTGGCGAAGGTTATTCGTGATCCTCTTTACCCCAGCAACCGATGGGATGAACATGTTGCGGTCAGGAGTTGAACTTTTCCTCTGTGGGTCACCAGAGGGGGCTGTGGGGGGCTGGCATGCATGTGGCATTTTTCTGAAGGCTGGGATTGTGCAATCGTATTTGCAAACACCACTTGTGCTTTTTTTTTTCCTTTGGAGGTGTGCTGCCATATATTTGCTATCTGTGACGTGCAGTTGGGGAAAAGCAACAGAAACAGCGGCCTAAAATTAGACGTCTCTAAACCATTCAAAATGTGAGGGGGAGTACAAGCCGTCCCGGTGAATGGCTCTCTCTGATCTGCCATAGAGAGTTGCTGCCCGGCAATAACAGACACTCTTTTTATTGGCTCATTGCAGACAGGGCTAGTAAATTGTATTCTGGAACTGATTACATATGTTAGATTCCACAAAGTATTCAGACTACTTTTTGATTTCTTGTAGATTGCTTTTTACCTAACTTACTGCAGATTACAATACCACACAAAAAGTTTGAGGGGCGCTTTGTGAGTTATAAAAAATGTAAAAAAAAAATTTTTATTTAATTTTTAAAAATCTTTTAGGGGTAATTTTTTTTAAATACATGGGCAGTACACTGTAAAACCCAACAGTCAACTTTATCAAATGAAATTATTGTAGCTAGCTCAAAATTTACTAAAAGCTATTTCTACTCATTTGAAAAGAGTTTTGAACTCAGTGTTGAAGGTAATGAGTATATTAAATACCTCATTACGTCAATAGAGTAAGTTCACAGGACTCATGTAGATTAGTTTTTTACTCTAGCGGTTTGAGTTGTCTTAACTTATTGGGTTTTACAGTACTCAGCTGGTTTGAGTTTTCTTTATTTATTAGGTTATACTGTGCTCAAAGTAAAACTTTGTTTACTCATAGGGATTAAGTTCACAGTACTCATTAGGATTAGTTTTTGAACTTAAATGTGTGTTGTTTTTTTTTTTTTTTTTGCGATCAGTTTTCTCAAATGGTTGAAGTTACCTTAACTTTTTGGGTTTTACAGTGTAGTATACACCCCTGTGCCATTGATGCAGTAAAGAGGATGTGTGTAAATATGATATTTATAATGATGCCTTACATCCAATAATAGTGATGTGAGTGTACAGTACCGGTCAAAAGTTTGGGGTGAGTATTTTTAAATGTTTTAAAATAAGCTTCTGCTCACCAAGGCAGCATTTATTTAATCAAAAATACAGTAAAAAACATAATATTGTGAAGTGTAAATGCACTATAAAATAAGTGCATAAGTAAAATAACTGTTCAAAAAGTGTCTTCAGTCACATGATCCTTTAGAAATCACTCATAATCATTGTGATTATGATTATTATTATTGTTATTATTATGATTATTATAAATGGTAATGGTAATAAAATTAATAATGACTGGAGTAATAATTTCATTTGAAACTACATACAATAAGAAACCAGTTATTTAAATTTGTACCAAATATTTAGCATTTTACCAATTTTTTAGATTTAATAAAGGCCACCTTGATGAACAGAAAAAAAATCTTCAAAAAACATGGAAAGAAAGCTGACCCCGAACTTTTGACTGGCAGTGTATATATTGAATATGCATTTTGGCACTCCAGTCAAGTTTACTGGTCACATAATTTCAAGTTTCAAGAAGTTCTTTTGAAATAATAAATTGCTTTATCTCTTACACACAAATTCTAAAAAGTGGCAAAAAATGTATTTTAAAAATGTATAAAAAATAGGTTAAAGTAAACAGCATTACAGTATTAAACCTGAAAGAAAAAAAATTGTCATTATTGCTTTCAATTAGAATTGAACATCAATTTCTACTATAAAGCAGGTCTTCAGTGTTTATGTTTATACTCGTTGATAATTTATATAGAGGAGCATTAATAAGTTTTATTTAAAAATAATATGTGAATAATGTGCAAAAATAAAATATACATATATAATATATTAAAATAAAAATATAGCTGTAATTTGATTATAAGCATTTTAAAGCATAATCCAATGACAAGAATTTATATTTCCTGATTCCTAATTACATAATCCTCATTCAGTTACTACATACATTATGTGAACTTCCTTTGCCATGCTAATAATATCACCCCTGTGATTTTTGTACATCATGTCCGATCTGTCGCTAGTGATACCCTCAATATATGTGTGTAAATCTATTTGAGCGTTCGTCTTGGTCTGCCCATGTAATTTGGCCCGCTTCCTGCACCAGCTGGTTAATTGTCTCTCTGTCTGGCCGGCCAGTAATGAGAGTGACTCAATAGCAGACAAAAGAGAACCTCGGCGAGAGACGGCAGCCGATTGGTGGAAGCACTGACAGCCCCCTCCCAAAATGGGCGCCCCTCACATCCCCTGCTAATCCCACCCCTCACTCCCTGTCGCTTGTTTTCCCCGCTAACTTGCATGCAGGCCAAAATACTTGCTTACTTGTCCACGCTACGCTTCGTCCGGAGGACCTAAGAGTTTCAGAGCTTTGAAGGCAGCAGACGTTCTCAAGCCTGACTGACTAATGCGCCTTCTCCCTTTCCAGCTGCCAGAGAGTCAAGCCTTTGGAGCTATCAATGACTTCTTTGTTTGGTTTGTTGCAGAGTGCCCCCTCTTTCAGCCCCCTGGAAACATCCTCCGACCTACAGCAATAGTAAGTCCATACTCATATGTTTTTTCTCTCTCTCTCCCTCTCACATATGTTCCTCTCCACCATTTTGTGTGTTTGTGTGTGTGTGTCTTGCTCTCCCGCATGTATTCTCAGACAGAGCTGTCACAGGGGCTCTGGAGATTTCCCTCATTTCCTTTTGCTGTTTCCTGAACGACCATTTGCAATGCTGGCTGTCCTGTCGATGTGTTCGTGTGATATATGTGTGTGTGTTCGTGGTCATGGAGAGTGTGATGATTTGTTTTGTTCTAAGACTGGCGGCTGAAAATAAGACCTGGATGTCTTTTTAAGAGAGATAAGGGACCTTGTACCTCCACCCATTCTGTGAGCAGAAATCCCCCAATTCTTAGCGTGCTCCTTTTGAAAGTGAATTTAGTTATTGACAGTTTATCCTGGAGATTTGATATTTAGTGTGATCACACCTTCACAACATTGATGGGATACTGTTATTATGTCTTTACAGTTGAAGACCTGTTTATATAAATAAAAAACCTAGCTTAATTTTTAATTATTTGTGCCTTTTTATAATTTAATATAATTTGCCACCATAAAAACATTTATTAATTTACATTTATTTCTTATGCTAATTATTTTATTACTTTAAAAGTCAATTACACTGAAAAGTAGATATGAAATTGTAACATAATTATAATAATGAATAATAACAAAAGAATAATAACATTATAATAATGGTAACACTTTATTTTGATTGTCCATTTGAGTATTAGTAGACTGTCTGCTTAATATCTGTTGATCCTGCCTAGGGCTGGGCGATATGGGCAAAATATCATATCCCGGTATTTTTAGGAGGAATAACATATACAATATCTATCCGGTATTTTCCCATAAATGGTTAATTGAGAGTTAAAACCTGTATTAAAATGTTATTAAACATTTTTTAGCAAACTATAATTCAAACACATGGGTTTTCCTCCCTGTTTACAAATAAACAGCTGCACAAAATCTTTGATAAATAAAATACTGTACAGGTTTTTCTCCTGCTTAAAACTATTTTACAACATTTCAAATTATATAAAAACCTTGATAAATAAATACAGTACAGTTTTTTTTCCTTTACCACAAAATTATTTTACAATACAAATTATTTTTAATATTGTATTATTTTATAATACAAAAAGTATTTTATGTCTTTGCAAGTACAGGTCAACTTACACTAACCCCATCCCTAACCCCAACCTAACAATCTGCTTATAATCTAATGGTGGATTAGTTGGCGTGTAGATGCAATGTAACTTAAATTTAACAAACGGACCATCAAAATAAAATGTGATAATAAAATAAAATAAAATAAAATAAAATAAAATAAAATAAATAAATAAATAAATAAATAAATAATAATAATAACAATAATAATAATAATAATAATAATAATAATAATAATAATAATAATAATAATAATTCAATTATAATATATAAAACCACAAAATAAGAAATTTGTTTTGTATTTTTAATAGGGACGTCTCGATCAGGTTTTTTTGCTCTCAAGTCTGAGTATGAGTGATTTTATGTATCTACTGATAACAAAACCCCAATCTGATACTTCCATAATACATAAAAAAACAATAAAGAGGAGCGAAGAAACAGATCCAGAATGTTCCTTAATTTTTTATTTTGATTCATCTTATTTTAACATTCAACAACTCCGTAAACAAGATCACTTCTGCGAGGTAGCTTGAACCATCAAGTAATAGAGAACATCAATTTTAAATATATACAAATACAAATAGCACAGCAAATTTATATGCCCAAAAGGTATTTAAACAAAAATAAACAAATTAAAGTGCCCCAGTGGGAGACTATTTCTCCCGCATCCGATAATTACGACAACTGATAAACTTCTTAATATCTGATATGCACATTGTAATATATTGTCTTGTTAGGACTAAGAAATGTTCATCAATATTCACTTTACCTGAATATGACTGACAATAAAGGTTTTGGATCATTGCTGTACATTATAATAAAAATGCATTTAACCAATAGCGTCTCTGCTACAAAGTAATGTTATGTCACATGCTTTGCTGTTTATGTGTGAAGTCAAGAAAGAGGTCTAACTCTGTGCCGCCGCATAACTATAGATGTTTTAAAAAATCATGAGAATATATATGTACAGTACATACATATGATATATATATTCGAGTTTTGATCGGGAGGTAACATCCAATTCTGATCGAGTCTGAAACTGCATGATCAAACCCGATTTCCAATCACGTGATCAAATCTGGACATCCCTATTTTTTATTATTTGTCAAACATTGTTACATGGATACTCTAAATAGTGCACTGTGCCTGTGGGTAAAACATTTTGATCTTAACGTCAATATTTGCTAAAAAAAAAAACATCTGAAATATCAAGCAAAGCTTGCCCAACAAAAATACAATCAATTTAATGTCACGTAAGCCTACTTTAAAAGCATTCTTAAGGGGGAAAATATGTGGAATCTGAACATTAAACAAACATATTCATTAGTTAAATCAGTTTAACATTTTCCCCTGTTTCTTTCGCCAAAAATTGAACGGTAAAACATACAAATGAGGGAATGAATCTTCAGTGGTATTTTCATTTCTCTTTACAATCTACCGCAAATGCTTTCAGCCTAGCAGACTTCTCAGTGGTACGAAGATATTTTTAATGTTTGGATGTGGAGTTTATTGTTTTATCAAAAGCCACATGGTTCAGTTATAAACCAGGAGGCCAACTAATGTTCAGCCAAAACACTAAACCAAAAATATGCTCTCATGACTTGAGGAATGTCTGAGAGACAAACCCAAAGTAAGTGTATAACCCTGAGAGAAACATAGTTCTGCTTTATGGCAAGCAGATCCTGGAGCCGAACAGCATGAGAACACTTTGCTCAGCTTTAGTAATGGTCAGATAAATCTGGTAAGACCATCAGTTGTCAGGCAGCTGCTCAGGTTCGTGAGTTTGGAGCCAGCGGGGTCTGGAATGACGTGAGCTCACCTCACACCGCTCCGCCGGAAAGCATCCCATACATCCCAGGAGTGATGTCATTCATCTACGCTTTATTACATGTACAGTGTGGTGGAATAATCCATAAAGAACAGCGTCTTGTACACACACGCCTTTTTTAGTTGTTGAATAATGGCTGTTTTATTGTTTCCAAATGTGAAAAGGTAGGAAAGTATGCTAATGCGCATGTTAGGTAGTAACTTTTAATATGATTCCATGTGAATCAGACCGGCTGATGTATAGGAGTATTGTCTGCACATGTTTGCCATGGTTAAAATTCCCTCCAAAATGACTTGTGAGTTATTTTTGTTAACCAGTAACTTTAAGTTATGTTGGACAGTTTTTCCAGTCTTGTTTTGACGATTTATTCAGACAGTGGAATTAAGAAATAATAAAAAAAAGTTGCAAAAGTTTGTGATCCCACTGAAGAACCATTTTGGTTCCTCAAAGAATGTTTTAGAGAACGATAAGAAACATGCTTTTCTTAGCAAAAATAACTTAATAACAATCTAAAGAATCTTATTTTATCAAAGTTTGTTTGTTAAATGTTCTTCAAGGAAACAGCAATACCTTTATTTTTAAAGTTTAGACTCGTTTGAAACAACTAGCACTGTAATCTGAGCTGTTATTAACATAGCAAGGATTTACTGGACATCATACAGGTCATATTAGTATTTTTATTACACACCGTAAAGTATCATATTGTTAAATAAGCATGACATGCTATCATTTTCCTTATATCAACATACAGCAGCTGTAAAAGTTGTGACTAAAGACTGACTTGAGCTGGTTATATGGGAAGACCTGACAAAAGAAAACTTACTGTAGTTGTGCATCCCTAAATAACTCCTTTATGGCTTCCTGTGAGCACACAGTGAGGAATGGCTACATGTGGAAAGCTTCAGCATGTTTTTTAAAGGATGCCACACAGGCCCCTCAGGAATGTTGTGATAAGGGCCAGAGCAGCTGGTGCTGTCTCATCTATATCAAAGAGCAAACACAGGCTTACTTAAACCCCCCAAGACTAATAAATAATAATAATAATAATAATCCGCAATTGACAGCAAGAACAAACATAGAAGCGTTGTCTTATTGACAAGCAGCTCCTAATTATGTTCAAACAAATTTAAAACGCCAAATGGGATGAATTTATACCTATAATAAATATACATATTTATTATATGTGTGGGTGAGAGGGGGGTGTTTCAATATGATCCAGTTATGATGTGGTTCTGTGACTGAATTATATATATATATATATATATATATATATATATATATATATATATATATATATATATATATATATATATTTTTTTTTTTTTTTTTTTTTTTTTTTTCTTTTTTTTCTTTTTTGGGGTGGGTTTTGGACTACTTTTGTGCTGGAAAGTCTGCTATGTCTGGCAACACTGAACACAGCTGCCAGGAAGTTTCTAGTTAACCTAGTAAGAACTTGATCAGCGGGTTCAGGTGTGTCTAATTGGGGTTGGATCTAAACTCTGCATGACGTCGACCCTCCACGACCGAGTATGGGCATTTCTGATTTTCAATCCCCTGAGATCTTCTTTCATCTTCAGACACAAAATAAAATCATTTTAAATGGAATGTGAGATCTCCCTCATCTTCCATAGACTGGATAGGGCATGAATGTAAATAACTGTCGGAACTTTATATTGGCGAACAAATTTGTTACAGTTTTGCAGAACTTTCATTTTTGGGTGAACAAATCTTTTAAGTTTATTAAAAAATGGAAAAAAATATATATCCACAGTTTGTGAATAAAGATAGTATTAATGATTACAATGATAACAATAAAATATAATAATAATAATAATAATAATAATGTATGATTTGTTCTGCTCTAGTAAATTGGGTTTTTATGTATTATTATTCAACATATTATTGTATATATTATTTGACATATTTTTAGGTATAGAGTTTCTGTACGCATATAATAACAAGCAGTGTCTTTTAATACGACACTGCCCTAGTATTCTGTTCTCTTCAGCCATGTCGTGTGAGGATGATGATTTATGCAAGTCTCTATTTGTGCTCAGCTCATCCTGTAAAGTGAGTGACGGTGAAGCAGAGAAGAAGGACGGCTCGTCCGGCAGCGGGTCGGCAGCTCCAGAATGTGAACGACACATTTACAAGAGCGTCCTGGAGGGCGGCGACATCCCACTGCAGGGCCTGAGAGCGCTAAACAAACGCCACCCCAGCACTTCTTCCAAAGGTACGCTTCCAGTCCGTTCTTTGAGAATCAGTTTCGAGTTTGAAGAAAATCTGGCCTCCTCTTCATCAGCACTTCCCACATTCCTCCCTTCACAGCACCACACAAATAACACAGCTCATTTGTCTTTCTGTGTTTTGTTAAAGCTGGCAATTTTTCACAGTTGACACGTAACAGATGTCCGGTTTGACCTTTAGTCATTCTCTCTGTACCGGTTCAGCTCAGTTGGGCGTCTGGCCGTTTTAGAAGTGGGCTGTGGTGTGGACAGTAGGGAAAGGTTTGGATGGATGTAAAGATTAATATTGGGATCTGATGGCAGAGCAGCCATCAGGGGTGGTCAGGTATGAGCGGGTCAGCTGTCACACTGAGGTCAGGAACAGGAATGCTAGCACATTTGACCTGAGGCGGGTCAGCAGGGGGGAGATGACGACTATATCTGTTAATAGTTAACGTGACCCATATGTTTAGACCGGGACTTTTGTTGACCACTCTGTTCTTTTTTTAAATTGTTGTTTCTGTCTGCTTTGAATTTCCAAGACAACATGTTTCACATGCAGAACATATGATGCACACTTGTGTCTTGTTGTAGAGGCGTCTGTGACATTTTACGAAGTTATTTTTGTGAATCGATATAGATTGTGAAGTTGGATCGCAAAGTAGTGTTATTTTGATACTTGAAGAGTTTTTTTGATTCATTGTAATAATTAATACTGTTTTTATGTTTTCTTCGAGTGCTCCGGTTTCCCCCACAGTGCAAAGCCATGCGGTACAGGTGAATTGGGTAGGCTAAATTGTTTGTAGTGTATGACTGGGAATGAGCGTGTATGGATGTTTCCCAGAGATGGGTTGCAGCTGGAAGGGCATCCGCTGCATAAAACATGTGCTGAATCATTCCGCTCTGTACCCCTTATTAAAAAAGGGACTAAGCCGAAAAGAAAATGTTTTTAAATTCAGTTAAAGGGATCCCAGCACACTTTTTAAAAAAAAAGATGTCTAATAGATGTCTAATCGACGTCTAAACATAGTCGTCTTGGCTTAAACAAGGCTAATCTTGTCCTGTCAGTGAAAATCTAATAGACGTCTAAGAATTGGCCAAAACTAGTCATCAAATAAAGAGATTTTTCATGATTGTTTAGTTCACCCAAAAACTTTCACTATTTATTATCCCTCAAATGTTTTCTAATGAAGCTTTTTAATCCTGTTAAACACTAAAGAAGATTTTTTGGTAACACTTTAGTTCAGGTCACAATTCATGCTATTAATCACTAGCTTATTACCTGCCTATTATTAAGTTATTACTGTTCATTAATAGTTATAAAATATGATCTAATTCTACATCATTAATCCTAGCCAAAACATAAACACAAATACTACCTTACTAACTATTAATGAACGGTTTATTAGTAGCTTATTATGCTAGTAGTGCTAGTTGATGGTTTGTTAATACTGTGAATTGTGACCTAAACTAAAGTGTTACTGATTTTTCTTTAGTAAGAAAAGCTGTAGAAAGCTGAAAACAAACGATCTTTTTTGTTATTTGCAGAAGAAAACCTGAATAATAAAGTTATTCTGAAAATATCTGAATAAATAAAAGGTGAATAAATGATGATGGTATTTTCAGTTTTGTGCGATCTATCTATTTAGGTTTTTTTTTAATTATAGAGATGTGATTTTTGTTATTGTGAACTGACATGACCTGTAGATGTTTTTCAGATGTGATTAATTGGTAATCTAAATAGGTCATCAAGGTGTTGATGTCCTGAAACCAATGTTTTCTATTATATACTCAGGACAACAACAGTTTTAGCCAATGCAAACTTATTCTATGGTGTAAAAATACTTAGCTATAAAGTAAATATGCATTTTTTTATCATTACTACAATAAAGCCACAGAAGCAGACTCGCAACATAGATGTTAGTCTCGCTTTGCAAAGAGTGCCTCTTTTGCAGAGCTGTTTTGAATGGGATGTCATGACAATATTGGTCTCAAGACATTGACCACTTTGTGCATTTTCATTAATAAACTGTAAATAAATATTACAGTTCTGTTTGTAATTCCTGAGGATAGCTGGTGCTTACTTCACAGCACACTAGGGGCTCTTTTGGTGAGAAATCCCAAGACTTATGGAGCACTCTAGTTGTGCTAACATTGGCTTATGGGCAATTGGGGAGTATGTGTCTGTCTTGGATCAGTTTTAGGGAGTTTTTTTGAGGTTAAAGGGTAAAATATTGGCTCATTTAGATACATTTTCACAATAGGAAACTTAAATGGAAATGTATAGTAAATGCTACATGCACTTTCATGTTTCTTCAATGCATAAAAAGGTTACTGAGTTGGTGACATGCAGGAAGTATCATGGAAGTATAGTAACATTTCATGTCAATGTAAGTTAAAGCAAAATGTTACTTTTCTTGATTTTTCTATACCACTACTTATGGGCCAGAGTAAGATCCATTATATAAACTACATTCACCTTGCAGACTTAAACTTATTACAACATGCACCATTTGATAAAACGATTTCAGTCTGAGTCAGTTCCATAAATTATTTCAAACAGCCTTTCTTTTACATGCTGTTCTTTTGAGAGTAAGTAATGTTTATTTTGCATTCCATGTGTTCCTTTTTATGTTCAGTTTTTTATTTTATATTTATCTAATATATATTAAGTTGAAATATTGTTGTAGCTTGTGTTTTTATATTAATATGAAATTTAGAATGAATGTTTAGTTTCTCTTAATAAGGTAAACACCAGATGTACTGACGCAATGTCCCCCCAAACCTGTTAATCATGAACCCCACCAAACAGTTGACTTTTTGGTTCATCAGGTAGCCAACTGTCAAGAAAAGGTCAGATTTGTAGATTCAGTTCACATGGTTAAAAGTAAAGCTGTTGTTTATCAGGATATGCAGCTATGCTTATGTTAAGTTAGGGTAAATCAAAACTGATTGATGTGAAAATCTATGATATGGCTGTGTGGTGGGGCTTGCACTTAACTTGGTTGAAAAAAAGTACTGCCCTCAAGCTTCACTAGGATTGAGAGTTGAAATTCGATTCTGATTCTGGAACAAAATATGTAAGGTCAGGAATCAGATTTTATTCTAAAATGAAAACTTCAGAATCAGAATTGACATAATTATATTAATACCCAACCCTAGACTTTGCATAGATGAACTCAGAGTTGACCCTCTGACCAGACTTAACTTGGAGTATTGTCATGCTTCTTACAATATTTGCCAGAGTAATATTGTGTTTGTACTTGTTGCAAATCTAATCTAATCTAATGCACTGTTTGTTCTGTTACCCTGCATGCCTGCCAGTGGATTATAAAGGTGGGAATGGCTGTATGATTTCACCCTGCTCTTCTGTAACCGCTCACTCAGTTCTTGCCACTAATGCACTAGCTTCTCAATATAAGACTAAAAAGTCCTTGTCTGCCACCAAAGCCTGCATTCCTCAAATCCTTCCCTCCAAGTTCAAGCCCAAGCTATCAAACTCTACCGATGAGAACCTGGAAAGACGGTCCGAGTCGGCACAGCAACAACGCCCCAAAGCACACAGCTGTGAGGATCTGCATCACCAGCCCTGCAGCTCTCAAAATGGAGATACGACAGATGCCGACCACAGGGTAAATTCAGTCTGCAAGGGCGACGGTTCACCCGAGAGCAGGAACCTTCATAAAAATGGACCCGCTGTGGGATCTGTAAGGAGCACACCTGAGTTCTCCACCCTCTATCGAAACATGCACAACATTCAGAGGCCGAGTTCCCTGGGCTCCAGCCCCCACGGTAGTGTCCGCTGCCTGGCTTCCTTTTTCGAGAAGCCGGGGGATGACATTACCCTGGAGAGGCCTGAGTTGATCCCCCGGGATGCCGTCACCTTTCGGGTGATGGAGTTTGAACGTATTATTCAGCGGTCAAACTCTACACCCACTCGCTCTGCCTCAATGCCCATTCTCCCCAGTAACCCAAGTCCTTCCCACAGTCCTGCACCAACCTGCTTCCTCCAGTCCGCTCTGTCAGCTGAGACTCTAGTCATGCCAGGGCCTTCACACACTGAGGACTGTCTAGCCATGAATACAGAGTCTCAATTCCCTAAAGAGGAGCCTTCAATATCAGACGAGTGCCTGAACACTTCAAGAACTGACTTACCTTCAGAAATCGAGGGCACAACAGAGCAAAAAAACTGTTGCGGTCATGATCCTGCCAAAGAGACAAGCACTGGTGGTTCCTCTGAACCCACAGGCCACCATCACCACGATCACTTCCCCTTCCACACTAAACAAAGCAAGTGTAAAGGCACCTGCCCGGCTTCCTACACTCGGTTCACCACAATCCTCAGGCATGAGCGGCAACAGGCCAACACCCTGCAGGAGAAGAGATGCGCTCCTCCAAGGAACTTGCTCTTGATGGGACCTGCCCCGTTCTCCTTACGCAAGTCCCTAAACAGTCAACAGGCCAAAAAGACTTGCGCTCTTTCCGCCATGAAGCCCAAGCCTGTGATCCCCCAGCGCCTGTCCTCTTTGGAGGTTCTGGAGAGGCTCAGTAATGGAGAAAGCTCTCCCTGTGAGGGCTGCAACTCAGATGACCTCATGGATGTGGAGGGCTCAGAAGCCAGTAAAGATCACTCTGAAGGTGGCTATACTGAGAGTGTCATGAGTGTCAGATTGCCCACACTCATGTTCTATGGGCATGACTATGTCTGTGATCACTCATCTTCCTCCAGCCTCTCTCTTTCTTTCTCTCCTGTCTGCTCTTCTGTCATCACTGAGTGACTTTAATTTTTTCATTTCTACCGTGTGCATTGTGTAGCCGACTTTGTGTGGTTTGCAACCAGATCGGCATATTTTTGTTTTGTTGTGTAAAAGTGTGTCATGTCATTTTTTAAATCATATTCCCATGTCAGCCATTTAGTAGTACTTTTTTAGTGCCTTTGTAATACATTGCCTAGAATTTGTCACCAAACTATGACCAGATGTAAACATAAAACTGCAGCAAGGTAACATCCAAGATAGAGTGCAATATTGACTTACATTGATAGAAGAATTGTTTTTTCCAAAGAGATTCTTCTAGTTTAATGATTTTTAAAAATACTGAATTGTGAATAAAATTCCAAAACATCATCGTACTTAACTGCAAGTTGTCTTGTTAATAGTCTGGTAACACGTTACAAATAAGGTTTCCTTGGTTAATGTATTAACATATATGAACAAAAAACGAAAAATATAGTACTTGTTCATCTTTGTTAGCAAAAATCAACCAGAATGTAGTTGTTCAACTCACAGTGCATTATCTAGTGTTAACAAGCACAACTTTGGATTTTGATAATGCATAGTAAATGTTGAGTGAAGTTTATTTATAAATTAATTTCGAAAGAATGAATTGCTTATAATTGGTCTGGCATTAGCGTATTCATGATTCACCAACCAGAAGATTCCTAAGTCACCATAAATAACTTAGGTTCCATACCACAGTAATCTTCAGTTTGAAGATCTGCTTCCTTCTAGTCTGTCTGTTTATCTCAAGCAGGCGAGGAGGAGACGGAGGCACTATGACAAGCACAAGGGAACGGTGGGCGAGGAGAACTAGCATTAAAGGCACAGGCCACAAAAACAGCTACAATGTGTTCAAAGCAGAAAATCCCAACCTTTTAAAAAGTATAACAAATAGTCTGATGGGTGTTTTGAGCTGAAACTTTACAGACACATTCTGGAGAGATAAAAGACTTATCTTAAATCCTAACAAGGCGTAAAATAGGTGCCCTTTAAGTTAATTTGACTAATCCAAACAGCACCATAAACATGCTCTTAGTATCTCTTCATAGCAATTCTTAATTGTTCATTAGCTACTACAGCAGGGGAGTTCTCGAGATCTACCTGAGCTCAAATTCCCCTCCTGCCCAGAAAATGGGACAAAGCTGGATCCAAGCAAATCCCCCAAGCTGGAGGATCTTATGAGCTCAGGGCTCTCTTCCTGGGACAGCATGTCAAACATCCTTTATAATCAATCTTCAGCTAAATGTGAACTCTTGAAACTATGCTTAATAAATGCTGTATTAGGATTGTTTGTTAATAGTTCATGCTATTAAATACAGTAAATAATATTAATTTATGAAATCTTATTTTAATCTGTGATCAATGCTCTATATTGAATCGTAAATGGTGGTATAATTCAAACTATTGATTCAGTGTCAATTTTAAAGCTTTACTCAGTTCACTAATTGTTTTTCACCTTTTGGCTTATTTTAAACCTGTAAATATTTTTTAACCTGTAACATACTTTTTTAATAGACCATATAATGAAAGCCAACATTGTTTGGTTACTAGAATCGTTCAAAATATCTTTGTTTCACTGCAGAAAGAAAGTCATACAGGTTTGGTACAATTTGTTTGACTAAGTATGCCAGAATTGTAGATAACTTGTGACTGCACTCTATTCTGTGGATATAACCACTCATGTCACTGTTCAGTGATATAATCCTTATCAGTCTCCACTGTACACCATTGTTTCAGACGTTTTTACTACTGTACATTACCAGAAATTCTGCTTTCATGCTTCCTGTGAATAGTGATAAGAGTTGGAAACTGTGAGGAATTTTGGCCCATAATTCACTGACTTGCTACAGGAGCTTCTTGTCAGTATGAGAAAAAAGTTTAGGCATCCCATGTTAATATAAACAGATGCAATATGAACATTAAACAGACATTTATCACTGTTTCATGCACACAGAAAAGCCTGGCAAATTAGTAGCTTACAGTTTCACAGATCTGATTTGAAAGGAAAAGACAAATAATTGTAATTGTACCATGTTTTTACTCCGTTTGAGGGTCAGGACCAGTGCACTAAAATGGCGATTATGTTGTTTTATTCATTTATTTTAATTTTGTGTTTGTCTCACTTCTGTTTTCAAAACTGCATTATACATAATACATTAGACATTTTTGAAAGGAATGTCAGAATGTTGTGTATTGTTGTACAGTTTTTCACGATGTTACATTTTGATGCATGCAGTTTTTATTTTGAAAAACCATGGCTTATACTTATCCTGCAGATCTCAAAATGCTTAAATGCATAAACATTCCAATTCTAATCTGTAATATGTGTAAGCCATTGTACATTTGTGTAATTTTGTTTTTTAAATCTTTTGTGGTAGTTGTGTTCTTCAGAGTGTCTATATCATTCCCATTGACTCTTCCAATGCACTTTGTAAATAGAAAATTTCAGATGTATGATGTGTTGTGCAAATTCTCAGCCAAAGCTGTTTTAATTAAATTTCTTTATGCGGTTTTGCTGATCTTAGCTACAAAGGGTGACTCATGCTTTTTTCCCCTCTAACAGACTCAGACTCTTCACATCCATTAAGCCAAGGAGATCATGGAGAAAGCACAGATGAGGCTGTCCGGAAACGCCACGGAGATAAAGAGGTGCCATTTATTTTGACATTTGCTTCTTGCTGCAAACAGATTATTTTCCTAATCAGCATGTTTATGTTGTTTTCCAGGACCAACATGTAAACATCCTTGTCTAATGTAACACAATATAAACATTCTCAAGTTTATTTGAGATCATTGATAGCGAGAATATCTTGAAATAAGGATTTTAAATGATCATTAAATTTAAATTGAAATGATTAATAAATTAATAAATTAATCAAATGCAAGTAATTTCAATTTTATTTGTTTTTAAGCATTTTTTGTTGTTTTAACCATCCCAAAATTATTTGAAGAATGTTATGTTTCAGCTTGCCTGTATTTATCAGATTGATTAGGTATGGCTTTGAGTAAAATGTTAATATTTTTGCTAATGAATATTAACATTATTTAAATATACATTTTCTTAAATAAATGTTTATATTTATCAAATGTGAATTAAAATATTAATATAAATTGAATGTTTAATTATAAATAAAAATAAATTGAATAAACACAATAAACTAAATTATTAATTAAAATAAGTAAAAAAAACATTGATATTAATTAAATGCTATTTAATAATATTGCTTCCAAATTAAAAGAAAAATATGGGCAGTTATTGCAGGTATTGCTTGGAGAGCTAAAATTTGTCAGAATTGTTTTTATTTGTTGTAATTGAAAGTCAGGATTATTTCACCAAAGAATTATTTAACTCTTCAGAAATTAAAACATTAGCATTGCCTTGTGTATATATTAATATGAATCTGTCTGAAAACATGGTACTTTTATTAAATTTACATAAATAAATAATAAAAATAAAAAGCTCTAAATTACAACTTTTTTAATTGGGAAGAAATGTCAGAGTAATAAATAAAATAAAAATCCTAGTTTACGCAAAAACATAAATCAACTGAATTAACTGAGAGAAACTAAGCATTTTTAAATGGCCTTGACACACACACACACACACACACACACACACACACACACACACACACACACACTTGTACATATATATTTATAGGGACTTCTCAAAGATATAAAAATGTTTGTAATGTACTGAACCCTATCCCTAAACATAATCCTCATGGGAAACAATCAGCATTTTTACATTTTCAAAATACTTCATTCTGTGAGCATATATCACAGTATATATATATATATATATATATATATATATGTATGTATGTATGTATGTATGTATGTATGTATGTATGTATGTGTATATATATATATATATATATATATATATATATATATATATATATATGTATGTATGTATGTATGTATGTATGTATATATATATATATATATATATATATATATATATACACACACACACAAAGACAGCTGTGTTTTTCTTTTTTTTTTTTAAATATGTCCCAAATGATGTTTACCAGATTCAGGAAATTTTCACAGTATGTTTAAAAATATTTTTCCGTCTGGAGAATGTCTTATTTGTTTTATTTCGGCTAGAATAAAAGCAGTTTAAAATTTTTTAAAAGCAATTTTAAGGTCAGATTTATTAGCCCCTTTAAGCTAATTTTATTTTAATAGTCTACAGAACAAACCATTGTTTTACAGTAACTTGCCTAATTACCCTAACCTGTCTAGTTAATCTAAATAACCAATTAATAAATAATCTATTATGAAATAAATCTGTTATTAGAAATTAGTTATTAAAACTATTATGTTTAGATATGTGTTGAAAAAATAGTCTTTCCGTTAATCAGAAATTGGGGGAAAAATAAACAGCGAATAATTTAGGGAGGCTGATAATTCAGGGGGCTAATAATTCTGACTTCAACTGTATGAGCTGTTTTTATATGGACCTAAAAATATCTTCACAAGGTCAAAATGTTCAGGAGTAGCTAGCTTTTTCCCAAAAACTCCATAACACAATTGCTCATACGGTGGATTGCCAGATTGTAGAATGGGTTACATGTTTTATTGAGACTTATTTTGCCTGATTAAATGTCTAAATTAATATCGTGTTTCTTTTAAAGAAAATTCTGGAAGAGCAGAGACGGCTGAAGCGAGAGCAGGAAGAGGCAGATACAGCTGCTCGGAGACACGCTGGGCTGGTTGTGACTCATCAACAGTTCATTACTAATGACCGTTTTGGCGACCTGCTGGTTATTAATGAGAAGGAGAAGAGAAAAACCATAGAGGTGATGAATGTTCTCTCTTGTTATGCTTCAAATGCTCATGCTGGATGATGACAGTCTTTATATACGGCACAGACAGTTGCTCTGCAAAACAGATGCAGTGCTACAGAAATGATGCTAATAGCCTCTTTTGGTCTACAGAGGACTCCTGCTCTGGCACGATTTGACTTCAGAGCAGAAAGTTTAAAGTAAGCATGTTTCTCAATTCAGATCTGAGAATGCTAATAAGATCCTCTTGCATCTTTGTTATTGTAACAGCAAATCAAATTTGAAATACCACACTACTGATTGAATTACATTTTGCTGCTCTTTTATTAGGGAACTTCCATTTCAGAAGGGAGATATAGTATACATCTATCGGCAGGTCGATCAGAACTGGTTTGAAGGAGAGCATCATGGGAGAGTTGGGATTTTTCCACGGAGTTATGTTGAGGTACTTTATATCCTTAACTAATATGTTTTGTATGCTTTCAGATTTGCAGTACCCTTATGTAAAGCAATACTTTTATAATAATAGTATAATATAAATTAAAAATTATATATATTAATAGTCAAATGCTTTACTACAAATATTTTTTGTAGTTAACTACCATACAAATTAAGAAAGTACAGGGTTAGGTTTTACAACACTAACCATAGTTTAACCATAAGTTAATAAGGCTGTGTGTCATACAAATTGTGATCAATACACCAAAAAATTGTCACTACACTTTTAATATAATATTGTATTACTATTTTTAATCATAGTCAATATACTATGTTATTTTATTTCTTCAGCTGGTGCCCCCAACAGAAAAAGCTCAGCCCAAAAAGTGTGCTCCGGTCCAGGTGTTGGAATATGGAGAGGCTCTTGCTCGTTTCAATTTCACCGGCGACACTGCTGTTGAAATGTCTTTTAGAAAGGTATTAAACTTTTTCAACAATTTTACCAAGCTTGCTGTTTAACCCAGGGGTCAGCAATCTTAACTCTACATGCTATCATTGATTTGAGCTGAAGAGCTCATTATATTTATTGTTTAATTTACTTTTAGTCATTTTAATTTAGTTTAGTAACATTTAGAAACTACCTTTTGAAGTCATGAACTCTTTATTTGTGAAGCCAAATGCACGAAACAAGCTGAACTGAAAGGTTTTGGAGACTTTTTATAAAAGAAAACGAAAAAAGAAGTAACATATTACATTTAAACATTTAAAAATATCTAAACATCCAGAACAGAGTTGCCACCAGGCAGTTAAACTAAAGGTTTAAATATTGAGATGTGGTGATTTAGCAATTGTGCATGAGGATGATTATTTTAAATAGTACATTTAATCAAAATTCTGTAGTAATGTGAAATGTTGTTGCTGTTTAAGATGTTTTCTAATTGAAATTTGTGGGACTTCTTTCGTTGAGGATCTTTACTCACTGCCATTTAGAAATCATTCTTCAATTTTGATTTGCAGCTCAAATTTGAAGTTGATTTTACCAAAATTTAGTTTTTGGTCACTTTATTTTAGGGTGTAATTCTCGCTATTTACCAAACATAATCTATTACTTTAATTCAATAAACACTCCATTTGCTACTCATTAATAGTTAATTAATAGTTATTATCCTTAATAGCAACCAAAAATAGTAGTTGGGTTTAGATATCATTGGGTGTGATTAGGCATGAAAGAAAGAAAGAAAGAAAGAAAGTAAGAAAGAAAGAAAGAAAGAAAGAAAGAAAGAAAGAATGTGTGATGTTTGCAGATCTGCATGAACTACTTCAAAATCTTTCATCTTTCTTTAGGGGGAGCGTATAACACTAATTCGCAGAGTAGATGAGAACTGGTATGAAGGCAAGATTTCTGGCACAAACCGGCAGGGTATCTTTCCAGTCACCTACATAGAGGTGCACAAGAGGCCCCGAGTGAAAAACGGAGTGGACTATCCTGATGCCCCTATAAGCTATTCACCTCATCGCAGCACTAACGCTTCTCCACAGGTAAAAACACTTAAGAAATACAGAGCCCTCGTATCATCTCCTTTCAACTTTCAGTTTTCATTTTCCCTATTGTTTGTTTTAGAGATGCACCGATCTTGATTTTTTTTATGACCAATTCAGATTGCCGAATTGCTTTTTTAATCGGAATTATGCAAGCAAATTGATCAATTTATTTTTATCTTGGATTACATTTATAATAGTTTAAATACAATGAAAAACATAATAATCTAACAAACCTGTACAAAGCAAAAACAGAACACAGGCTAGAATAGAAATGCAAATCCAATCTCTGCCTGTAGGTGGTGCTTATGGAGAAGCAGTAAAAACTCCAGCTGCACTGGAGTATAGTGCAGTAGAGAATAAGTATCATACAGGACAGATGAGTATATCTGTTGGTACATCTATGCACAATCTCTGCCTCTTTTAATGTTCTGTCTACTATAAACCATGCTCCAATATACTATAAAATCATTGCAGTGCAGTTTGCAACAGAAATACAAAAACATTCATCAGTTAGGGATCACAGTTTGTAAACAAAACAACAGCAAACATCTGAACCTGATTTTTATCCAGTAGATCGGTGCATCTCTAGTTTGCATTGATTTTTTTCACCATTTCTCCTTTTCCCTTTCCTCCTTCCTCTTCTTTCTTCTCATTCCTCCTGACGTCCTCCAAAAAGCCCATTCGTAATCGTCTCACCACGTCCCCTCTCCCTCTGCCCCGCTCCCCTCGCCGCTCCATTTCCCCTGAGGTCCATGCCATCTCCAATGAGTGGATCTCTCTGACTGTGGGTGGGGTGAGCAGCAGCCCTCCGGCTGCGCCAACTCCACCCCTGCCACCCCTGCCAACCAACTCCTACCGCCTTGGCGAATATCTGCCCCCGTCTATGTCAGCCAGTCCTGTGCCTCCCATCAGCGGCAGCCCCTACTGTGTCTCCCCAATGGCTTCCCCCTCCACGTCTCCTTTACCGCCACCCTATCCACCCCGTCCCTGCTCAGCCACCCCGTTCCTCACATTCACTCCACCTCAAGGCGAGGACTTCCTTCTTTCTCCACCCTCCCCCCGTCTGTCCCGCAGCCTGAGCCCCTGTGGTGGTGCTGGGCTTGAGGGTTGGCTCTCTGGGGCAAACAAGCTGGATCAGGAGTTTCAGGAAGGGGAAGGGGCTGAAATAGACAGGGTTGGAAGCCTCCGCAAGGCTCCTTACAGCAGGAACAATAGTCCAGCAGAGGTATCTTCTGCATGGTGTGCTGTGTTTGTTCAGGGTGCCATCATGTGGTGCTCAAGTGCAAGGGCGGATGCTGTTTTACACTGGCACACGTTGCAGATCTAATAGGGTGAATTAGGGAATGATGTGGTTGTGCTAATGAGTTAGTAAGCACACTTTTGAGGGGTAACACAGTTGATAAGGAACAATTGCATGGAACTCTAATGTGAATGCTGCTTGTGTGTTGGTTTTTTGTGTTGTCATAAAATTACAGCATGCATGAGTTTTAAGAATATTTGCATTTCAGTTATTGTTTATCAGAACCAAATGGTCAAGACTTAATAGTCGGTTTATTTTCAAACATGAACATTTTCACGTTAATCTAACTTACAACTTTGAAAATTATGGGATTATTTCTTGGCATTTTGCTTGTTCTCTGTTATATTTGTTAACACCAATGAATTTTATGAATTAATCTTAATCTTTAAATTACTTTGTCCTATAGCTAAAGTTAATTTCTTAGGTTAATGCCTTATTACATTAAAAACAAAAATTGTAATTCTTTAATTAAAAGGAGTTAATAACTACTAAAACTTAGTTGTTGTTTTTTTTAAATTAACTTTATAATATTATTTATCATTGTTGATTTTAATGCATTAACTAACGCATTGTAAAGTGTTACAATTTGTACTTTATCATGCTTTTGCAATTAAAATTGTTTAAAACATTTGTTAACTGAACATGTACAGTATATACACCATGTTCTGTATATACACTGAAAAAATATTCAAAGATGATTTCCTGGATTTTTTTTTTTTTTTAGATTAACTGGTTGCAAACAATTTATTTGGGCTGAATTTAAAGAAACAAATTAAGTTGAAAATTATTAAAATGAATTTGTTTAAACTCAACCCATGTACATTTTTCGCAACAATTTGCCAGAAATCTTTTTTTCAGTGTATAACAAAGCAATACACTAAGAACTTTTTCATACAAATGTAGATACATAAATCTACAATTGTTAAAGAACAACTGAAGAATAATAAACTAAGATTGTCAATTTAACATCTTTTTTAAGGCCTATAAATTATATAGAGTATAAAAAATAGCAAATTTATATATTCCTCGAACCCAAATATTAATCCATCTTCAGTAAAATAGAAAAAAATGGAAAAAAATAGAAAAAATGCCAAAGCAGACTTAAAATGCATTCATTACCCCTAAACATGCCTCTAATACTTGTCTACTTTTTGTAATGTCTATATATAATATTCATATATTGAAAAATATCTTTTTTGTAAGGTTTTATAAAATATTTAAAATGTATAACTGTTAAATCATATTTATTATGGGATAAAAGATAGTTTGTTGATATTACTGTCTAGCTGTTGTTATAAGTGTTATAAGCTATTTTATAGACTATATAGTGTTTCCACCTGAAGCTTTCCGGCATGACATGACACTGTTTTAACTTGTGTGTTTGTGATTGCAATGAAAATTGGTGATTGCTACTAACTCACAATCTTATTTCGGTCCTTGCGTTTGTATATACAGTACTGTAAGGTTGTGCTGGAATCAACTGCTCAGAGGAAAATGATACTAAGCTGATCAAATGACACCTGTTAAGCACAGGCAGTTGTTTTTAAAGCAATAGCTAATACATGTTATTTTCCTCCACAGCCATTAAGAAATGATGTAGAATATTATGGGAGATCTTCAAGAAGTCCTGTCATGCTGTTTGACATCCAAGACAACAACATGAATGCCAACTCATTCACGGTAAATTACATTGCAAGCCATAATTGCTTTTTAGACAGACATACTGCTTTTTCTATGATGTCATCTGTGTTGATTGAAAATGAATGATGAAAATGAACAGATTCAGATTCTGTAAAGACTGTTAAGAAAGCTTATTACTGCCATAGAATAAAAAAGATATTTGCATTTTTATTTAACTTTTTCTTTTTAAATGTAGATTTCTACTCAAAATAGCACTGTAAAATTATAAACTTGAACATAAAGTAGCTTACAAAGAAAACAGAAATAAAATTGGAATTACATGATGTCATCTTAAAATGTAATGATACATATTTGGATATTAATGAGAATTATGAGGTGTAAAGTCAAAATTCTGAAGTTGAAAGCCAGAATGATCTGACATATAATCAGAATTATCAGCTATAAAGGCATAATTATCAGGCATAAATCAGTATTATGTGGTTTTGAGGCAGAATTATCAGGTGTAAAATTCTGAATTATAATTATGAAACTCAAGGTCAAAATTATGAGGTGTAAAACCAGAATTATCAGATGTAAAGCCAGAATTATCAGATGTAAAGCCAGAATTATCAGATGTAAAGCCAGAATTATTAGGTGTAAAGCCAGAATTATCAGTTGGAAAACCAAAATTATGAAGTGTATAGAATTATCAGGTCTTATGTGCAAAATATGAGGTGTAAGTCAGTGTTACATGGTTTTAAGACAGAATTATGAGGTGTAAAGTCAGAATTATCAGATATAAAGTCAGTATTATCAGGTGTATGTCAGTATTATGTTGTTTTTAAATCAGAATTCTGAGATATAAAGCCAGAACTATCAGATGTAAAGTCAGAATTATCCGATGTAAAGTCAGAATTATCAGGTGTTTATCTGTATTATGTGGGTTTTAAGTCAGAATTATAAGGTATAATGTCAGGATTCTGAGGTATAAAGCTGTAATTATCAGATGTAAAGTCAGAATTTTGAGGTGTAAAGTTAAAATGATCAGATGTAAGTCTGTATTATGTGGTTTTAAGCCAGAAATATCAGATGTAAAGTCAGAATTATCAGATGTAAAGTCAGAATTTTCAGATATAAAGTCAGAATTTTCAGGTGTATGTCTGTATTATGTGGTTTTAAGTAAGAATTATAAGGTATTAAGTCAGAATTATAAGGTATAAAGCTAGAATTATCAGATGTAAAGTCAGAATTTTCAGGTGTAAGTCAGTATTATGTAGTTTTAAGTCAGATTTATAAGGGATAAAGCTAGGATTTTCAGATGTAAAGTCAGAATTTTTAGATGTAAATCAGTATTATGTGGTTTTAAGTCAGAATTCTAAGGTATGAAGTCAGAATTATGAGATGCAAAATCAGAATTATCAGGTGTAAGTCAGTATTACGTGGTTTTAAGTCAAAATATGAGATGTAAAGCCAGAATTATCAAATGTAAAGCCAGAATTGAGTTGTAAAGAGTTGTAAAATCAGAATGATCAGGTGTAAGTCAGTAATGCAGTATGTGGGTTTCAGGGCAGAATTATGAGCTGTAAAAGTCATAATTATACTTATTGGGTGTAAAATAAGAATGATCAGGTGTAAAGCCAGAATTATGAGACAAACTAACATTATAATAGAACATAAGTCAAAATTACAAGATGTCAGAAATGTTGCATAAAAATTTGCAATCACCGTTTTTTTCCTCGTCATGGCAAAAACTGTCATCCATAGCCTCTACAAGATGCATCACAGTCAGACATTAAACTCATCTCAGTGTATGATTTGATCTGATATCTAATCCCCAAACTCTCCCACGTAAACAACGCATGACAAATCTCAGTACCCTGCAAGAATCCTATATGATTGTGGTGTATGTTTCGCTCCTTCCACTTGCACTCACTCTGTTGTCTCGCTCTTCCATGCTTATCCTCTGGACACTACCATCCCTACTGGCTTTCCTGGTATTAATGGACATTCCCTCCTTTCTGCCCTGTTTCTATCTCCTCTAACCACACCGCCCCTTCCTCAAACTCAATTTTCCATCTGAATGACTGACACCCTGGTTTGCGGCCACCTCTTGTGCCGACCCTCTTCCACCAATAGGAGGCAGTGTGTAATGAGATCATGAATATTGCAGAGACCTCAGTGAGGTACTGCAGCACTTTGTCACGCCCTATAGACTCCGCCCACCGACTCCTGGCTCCTCCCAGTAAACACTCTCTCATCATTTCCCAGCAACCCCTGTCCCAGAGCAGCAGTCCTGAGCCTGGACGCATGAGCTGTGGGATGTAAGTATCATCCATCTGTGTATGTTTTGGTGTAGATGTGGAGATGTTCACTGATGTGTACCTTATACATAATACATAATATACAGTGCTCAGCATGACTAAGTACATCCTTATTCATTTCTTAGTGAATATAGGCTATGTATTTTGATGCATTTAAACAAAACAGATTTATTAAGCAGATAAATTAATTAAAATGATATTTTAGTCACCAAAAATATTTAGAAATCGAAAGATAATATATTTAAATTCAAGCAAAATAATGCAAAAAAGAAATTACGACCTACACAATTTTCAACAATATTTTTTTGCTTCTCTTGATTTTTCCTCTTTTTTAAAATTTGTATTTAATATTTTTCTATTCCATATAAATTTGCATGTACTAGTTTTTGTACCATTATCATAAGTTATTTTGTTAGATAAGCTCCAGATTTGGCTGCAGTACTGACTGATCTAATGTAGATGTACAAATATAAAATTGTATAGCTTCCTATTAAAAATATGAATTTAAGATAGATTTATGAGGGGTGTACTTATATATGCTTAAATGTATTTTCATTAATATGAAAGTTATCAGCTTATAAATAATGAGGTATGGCAAAGGATAGATGCTTTTGGAGAGTTTATGCTAAATGGGAATACAAGATGTCTGCAAAAACAGGGCTTTGGTATTGCAAGTGACAGATGAATGATTTGGGGATGGAAAAGTTACCTTTGTTTTAAAATACAATCAGATATCAGTTATTAGTTATCTGTATCGGCCTTATTTCCATACCTGTGCATTCTTAATTTATACTATACAAACTTTCATTTAAAGCAAAAAAGTTGTACTTTAGGAAGGGAATAGAGACATTATAAACAACCAGATTAAATGTGTACACATGCTTAAATGATATACTGTACAGAACTATTTAGGTTTTGGGCTAAGTTTTAAAGAAACTTTTAAAATCTATTTATAATTAATGCTTACCATGTCTGAGTTTGATAAAAAAATAAAAAAAAACTATTAGTAATATTTCACATTTTACTGAAATATTTCCCAGAGATGTGTTGCGGCTGGAAGGGCATCCGCTGCGTAAAAAACTTGCTGGATAAGTTGGTGGTTCATTCCGCTGTGGCGACCCCGGATTAATAAAGGGACTAAGCCGACAAGAAAATTAATGAATGAATTTTACTGAAATATTTTATACATATTTTATATATATCCTGTGATTGTAAAACTGATATGTCTTTAATGTCATGTGAATCTTAAAAAATCATTGTAATATGCTGATTTACAACTCAAGATATATTTCATTTGTGATTTAATGGTACTTTGCTAAAATATTCACAGTAGAATATAAATAGAATACACTCATGCTACACTATCTATCTATCTATCTATCTATCTATCTATCTATCTATCTATCTATCTATCTATCTATCTATCTATCTATCTATCTATCTATCCATCTATCCATCTATCTATCTATCTATCTATCTATATATATATATATATATATATATATATATATATATATATATATTCATAGTATAGTATAGTATAGTGTAGTATTATACAGTAGATGCAAGCAATATGTCTATAGATATTGCTTTAGTATAGTGCTATATTAATCTATTAAGCATTCGTGTGTAGGCATGGGAGGCATGTGTAGGTTGGGGAAAGTAAAGGTTTTAAAACTGTTACAGATTTCAGTTTTATCATTCCTAATGTATGTATAAGTTTTTATTTTTTATTATTATTATTTTTTTTTTTGGTGTGGGGGGTTCATGTTGTCAAAGACTAGTTTAATTATTTATTTACGGTAACAGTATCTCTAGCAAAAAAGGACATTCAATGCTACTAGTAAGCCCACGATTCAGCTACACTTGAAAAGCAAAATTGTAAATATGCTAGCATCCAAGCATGCTATGGAGCTAAATAGTGCAGTAAGTTTTTTTTTTTTTTTTTTTTTTTTACCCAGACATTTAAAAAGAACTCATTTTAGTGCAGTTATTACAATACAGTGAAATCGTGATATTTTTATCCAAAGTTATACTCTTGGTATCTTATACCAGCCTATGCCTATTCATTAGCTACACATGAAATATTTTTTCAGTGTATCTATGCAGTCAGATTTGTTTGTGATCAAACTGGAAAGCCAACCTACAGTGCAGTGCTTTAAATTTAAGCTAATCAACTTTTAGTGTAAAATGAACTGAAAGACTAAATATTCTTAACAGTTTTACATTTAGTTAGTGCAGTTTTATTTGTGCAGTAGATTCCCCCAGGCTCCAATTCCATGTCTGATATTGTGCTGTTTTCTGCTGTAGATTTCAGGCTCTGTACAATTACGTGCCTCAGAATGATGATGAGCTGGAGCTGCAGGAAGGAGACCTGGTCAACGTCATGGAGAAATGTGATGATGGCTGGTTTGTGGGTATGTGTCATTTATTATTATATTGATTCTCCATGAAAAGTCATCTCTCAAAACTACAACACTCCTACAGTAAATCAATTCTCGACCACTGCTATTGAGTTTTGTTTTACTGGAGATGGGTTATTGTTGATAACTAAAACTGAAGCAAAATCGTAAAACTAAAACCACTTTCATTTCTTGAATAAACATTAACAAAAAAAAAAGAAAAAAAAAGAAAGGAAAATAAAAAGTAAATATATAGATATTGTTTTAGCTTCTTGCCGCGTCACATGCTTGCACTGTAATATTACTACATAGTGCTAATTCATAATCATGTTAACAACATGCTAATTCATACTAAAATCATTCTAACAGCATGCTAATTCATACCAGAAACTGCCAACCTGATTTCACCTAGTAGAACATGCTCCGGGATTAAGATCTATGTTCATCCTGGAACAACATTCCAATTAACCAATCAGAGTTAAAGGATACATTTACAGTTTGTGTTAAGTTTAGGCTTACAGTTTTATGCACTTCTACATGATTGTTTTTCCCTCTATTATTCCCCTCTGATCTGGGAGTAATTTACAGTTATGGTTGAGTTTAGGGGTAGGGAGTAGGTATAGATTACATTTTTGAACAAAAATTATGTTCCAGGATCAACATAGATGTTAATTCCGAATCACATCGTACTTGGCGAAATCATGACTTGCTACTAGAAACATGCTAACAACATGCTAATTCATACTTGAATCATTCTAACAATGTGCTAATTCATACTAGAATTATTCCAGCAACATGCTAATTCATGCTTGAATCATTCCAGCAACATGCTAATTCATGCTTGAATCATTCCAGCAACATGCTAACTCATGCTAGAATCATTCCAACAACATGCTAATTCATACTAGAATCATTCCAACAACATGCTAATTGATACTAAAAACATGCTAACAAGATGTTAATTCATGTTAAAATAATTCTAGCACAGGGGTGCCCAAACTTTTTCTCATAAAGGGCCAATTTGATTGAGGGGGGTGGGCCCGAAGGTAAATATACCAAACTATTAAATGAAAGCTGCCACGGTAAAAAATACATCAATCATATTATTAATGATACTTTTTTACATTTTATAATTTTATATAACTTCTTACTAGAAAAACATAAACAAACACATTTGTAACACAATGGTGTTCAATACTGAATACAGGAGTCAAGCTGAACCTGCTTTGCCTTGATTTGCTTATCGATGTCTTGTGTATTGTCCTCTCTTCAAGTGACAGTGTTTACATTTTTAAAAATCAGATTCATGCACAACATTTAACTGATACATTTCATTTCAGCCGACTTTTTTGTAGCTCAACAAACAAACAAACAAACAAACAAACAAACAAACAAACAAACAAACAAACAAACAAACAAACAAACAAAAAGTTACGATAAATTTGAAATGACGATCTCTGTTGAAGGTATTTGCTTCAATCCCAAATCTTTTTTTCTGATGGGATAGCGGGCCACATCAAAGGTTATCATGGGCCAACTTTTTTTTTGGACATCTCTGTTCTAGCAACATGAAAATTCATATTAAAACAATGCTAGTGCTATGCTTTTTCATGATAAAAACATGCTAAATAAAGCTCGAAACATGCTAATGACATGACTTTCTCAAGCCCCCATTGTTTGCCTTCAAACTGTTATATCATTAAAAATTATAATAGAAAATACAAAAAGATAGTTTAAAGTAAATTCCATAATTCCATGTATAAATGCAGTCAAAACTAAATTATTATATGTAAATGTAAGTTGTTTATTGAGTAATTAATTCTTATTGCCATTTGAATTTTTGTTCAAGAACAATATTGTTTAACTAAAATGTTTTAGCACGCAATACGTCACAAAATACAATAATGGCAACAGTTTTTCTTTTTTTAAGTACAAATGGGTCATTTTGAGTAGTAAATTAACCCCAGGTGTCACAGAAAATTACTAATAAACAACAATAAAACACTGTAAATAAATGTAGAATTCGCTTCTTTACATAATTATTTGTAAAATGTACTAAAAATGTGTAAAATGTACTGAAATGTCTCTGTACTAGAGTTGTTTTCAACTTATTAACCAGACTCTTATGTGTTTGTTGTTTTCTCTACACAGGTACATCAAAGAGGACGAAACAGTTTGGCACTTTTCCAGGAAATTATGTGAAAGCTGTTAATTTGTGACATACTGTAATACAAATGAAGAATTGACGGTTTGTATGAAGCGATTCTAGTGCTATGCTTGAGCAGCCTGATCTGTTTGGGACACTCTTACCTGTTGACCTCAAATGAAGACTTTCCTCCTGTCCAAAATTTGGTCTGTCCCATATGAATGTCCAGGTATGTGATCAGTAAGGTGTGCGGCATGTCAGCGAAGAACATGCAGTTCAACTGAACTCCAGTGGCAGCATTTGTTGAATCACTGAAGGATTTCACGGAAGAATGAAGGTTTTTACCAGTTTTCTGTATTGTATTTTTGTTTTTCTTGAAGAAACTTAGCTAAAAGCCATCAATATTAAATATCTGGGAAAAGGTGTTTAAGTTTACAACTGCAAATTTGACTGAAGTACAGCTCAAAACACTTCATCACATACCTGACATTACTGAAAAATATTAACATTTACAGTTTATTTTTGCTATAAATGTGTGACTGTAGGAGATGACAGGGCATCGAAGGTGTTTGTATTAAGGTTACAGGTCAGAGAAGCAGTGAGAAAATCATACTTGTTTGTCATTTAAAAAGAAAATCATAATGCAATTTACACTCCTGTTGCATATAAAATTACTGGTATATGGAGCACTCTTACAAAGAGTGGAATTACAGTTTCTTTTCCAGTGAGGGCTCAAAGTATGAGACACAATTTAATATTTGCAGATCCAAGCAAAGCCATTCATAGACATCAAAATGATGTAAATCAGTGTTAATGCAAGGAGGAAAACTTCACAGCACTTACTGTACAGTACTCTCAGATTTTGCAACATTTTGGTAACACTTCACAATAAGGTGTCTTTTGGTAACATTTGTTAACTATGAGCAATATTTTTATGGCGTTTATTATATGTTGTTATATAGTTATGTTAATTCAATTACATAATTTATGTGCATTAATGTTACCTGATAAAGTGGCAGTCAATGTAAAAATGAACATTAAAGGTAATAATCTCTGTAGAAGCTTTTATTTTTACCTTTATCATCAGTTCATGATTGTAAACCTTTTGTAAAGTGTTACCAAAATTTGTGAACAACTCTAGATCTGACAAACTTTGTGATTTGTAAAAACAAATGAAACAATATAGCGTTACTGTATATGATGTAGTGAGGTGAAGGGCTACAACTAAACTCCACTAAACAGATCTGACCTTAGATGCTTAGCCTCAAAAACATACTATTTATTTGCCTGAGTGGTGCATATTTTTATCTTTCAGTCCTCCAATTTAAAGTGGGGTGTTTGAACGATGTATTATGAATCTGAGGCGCAGTATTTACCTCCGTTAGCACTAGCATTAGCATAACATCCTAACCCAGGTACTGTTTGACAGTAACATTTATGTAGTGTTTTGACAGGTATTGTAGTTGTGTGTTGGGATTCGATGATCTGTAAGATTGCTGTACCTCATTTTCAAAGTGCCATTCACAGTATAGGATGCTACACTTGGACCTATTGTGTTCATTTCATTTGATATTCTCCATTGATTAGCTTGTGGTCTTCCTTAACTGAATGTAGTTTGATAGTAGATTTATTTCTGCTTCCGTTTAAGAAGTTTTGGATTTCTTCTGATAAAAATTGTGGAGAGTGGATTTCTTCTGATGAAAAGTTGTTTTTGAATCTCCCCTTAGGTTTTATACGGTCCATTCCATGTAATGCCAGAGAACGTGCTGCTAGAGAGTTTCTGTGACTCTAAAGGGATAATTCACTTTAAAATTGAACATTTACTCAACTTCAAACCTTTATGAGTTTCATTTTTACATACTAGGATATTTAAAAGTACCTTTATACAGTAGCTGGTAGCCACTGGTAGACCAAAAAAAATGCTATGGAAGTCAATCACTATTTATGTTCACAGAGGACATAAGAGGGTGAGTAAATGATTGTTTTTGGGTGAACTATCCGCTTTAGGCCCATTCATAACAAGGATGATATCTAGCCTATACCAGTTATAAAAACAGCCTAAATTCAGTTGTCATAGAGCTCATAGAGTTGACAAGACAGCTGTAATAATAAAGAGGAATGATATTGTTGGAATCACTTTCACAGTAATATTTTTCATAGCTGGTGAATGATAAAACCATTGACAACCAATCAGAATCTGTGCTACTCTAAAAAGCTTGAGCATTTAAAGTCTCCCCAGCAGGCACAGGACGCCAACGTAACGTCAGATTGATTGGAAATGTAAATCAGGTTGACATCAGAACCCAATGTCAGGCTGACATCAATGTCCAATGTCATAGAGAATGTCCAACGTCATGACATAGAGATTGCATTTTGGTTACTTTAAAAACACAACCTAAAAACAACAAAGTATCAACGTCTAAGGATGTTACAGCTTGACGTTGTGTGGACATTACCAATATGGCATCTTTCAGATGTTAGATTTTGGTTTCTATACCTGACAAATAAATGTCAGTATTTGACGTCAATGTGCCTTTGGTTTAGGATGTTGGCTTGATGTTGGATTTAGGTCACTTTCCGACACTACCTAAAATCAACAAAACATCATTGTCATTTCAAGTCGTTATTGGACGTCAAAAAAACATTGTCCTTAGACGTTGACCTAAATCTAACCTAAATCTAACCTAAGACTAACGTCTTATGACGTTGTGTGTTTGCTGGGACAGATGACAAAACAGCAGTGCATGGTTTAAATAAAAAGAAAGCATTATCCTACATTGGTGTCAGTGCTAATAAAGTTATCATTTTTGCCATGAACGGGCTTTTGTGCTTACCAGCCTTCCGTCCATCTCAAAACGAGAATCAGGAAGAGATCATTTGGACAGAAATGAAGTATTTAGATTATATATTTTTCATTTTGTAAACCAGTGGTTGTTGCTAAAACCTTTATCAAGATGTAATCACATAGAAAAACAACGAGGAATTTAAAAAAATCAGATGTGAATTTGAACTTGAAACTATGTGTTGGTTATAATATAGCGTAGCATATTTGAATGTAGTGCTCTGAGACTCTTTTAACATGGATGTGAACAAAGTTGAAATTCACAGTTCTCCTATTCTGTCAGAGTTGTAAATATGTAAAGTATAAATGAATGAAAGTGACCGAAGTTACAGCAACCTCTATAAATATTACAGTTTATATTAAATGAAGAATATTAGGAAAGCACAGAGATTTGCGTAACACACACAGACCGTCTCATATGACTGAGCGAGTGATTCTGACACTGTGTTGGGATTGAAATGCCTTTCTGTCTCATGGCTTCGTTGAACTGTGCCTAGTTTTATTATTTTGTTTTATTTTATTTTTTTCTGCCTCCTGGTGAATATGTCACTTTGTATGGAAATTTGACCCAAGTGTGTTAAAGGAGACTATTACAGAGTTCTTCACCACAATCATATGAGTTATTCAAGAGTGTGAGATGACACCTGAGATGTTTAATTATGTGTAATTATTACTTTGTGGTCTGTATGCAGAGCGAATTTTGCATCTTTTTGTTTTGTTTTTGTTTATTTGCAGTGCTGTTACAATTACAATGAATTTAAACACTATTACTGCTGTGATTGCCTCATTATGCAATATTTAATAAACAATATTACAGCTTTTGACTGATCCTGTTTGTTGTCAGGATGTGCACTGCTTATTTGATTGTGTTTTAAGCTCATTTCAAAATATATGTACTGTGTACTTTTTTTATTATGTTTTAGTTTTTTAGTATGTTATATTCATTGTTTTATTTTTATTTGAATTTAGTGTTTAATCTCTGTATTCTGGGAACAGACTTATTTTTTGGTGTTCTTTCCTAAGCTAATAACTAAACAATTTTTTTGCATAAAAAAAACATATATTGGACTTAAAATTAGCCTTAAATGCAAAGCACCCTCTTGAGGTGGCAAAAGAAGAGTTTCAAATGCCCAAACATTCATAATATTTTGTTATTATTGTAATTATAATTTTGTTTTGTAAAACTGCATTGCTGTTTTGAAATGATAGATTCTGTTTTATAATTCAGTAATAATAATTAAAAAAATTATTATTGGCATTCCAGTAGTTCATGTCATTGTCCAGTAGCAAAAATCCCCCGTTTTCATTTTAGGAATGTTTTCAATCTAAATTCTATTTTAGTTAAGAAATATATATATATATATATTTTTTTTTTTTTTTTTAATTTAAAAAATAGTTTGCTGTTCACTAACTAATATAAGCATATTACTAATATAAGCATATATATTTTTAAATATTTGCATATTCATGGGTTATTATTCATTCATTCATTTATTTATTCATTTAGTCCCTTTATTTATCAGCGGTCGCCACAGCGGAACTTTCCACCATACACAGCTGATGCCCTTACAGCTGTAACCCAATATTGGAAAACACCCGTGTACACTCATTTATACAATACGGCCAACTCATACAAAACAGCCAATTTAGTTTATAATTCACCTATACCGCATGTCTTTGGACTGTGGGGGAAACCCACGCCAACACGAGGAGAACATGCCAACTGGCCCAGCCAGGACTGGAACCAGTGGCCTCCGTGTCACCGCGGGTTTATTACTGTATCTCCTTCGGAAAATGTTTTTATTGAACCTAGCAAGTTCTCTCACATCCACCATTCACTTAAATTCCAGCTCGTCCAATAGCGAGAGATTAGGGCGTGGCTTCTGGTGAGCCAGCATGTGGTTTTTAGCAGGTGTGGTATACTGCTATAAGGTTGTTTACACGAGTTAGTTGGCGCAAGCCGAAAGTACACAAGACTTCGCAAAATACACGGAAATAATGCGATAAAACCAAACGCTGCCACTGTTTGAGAGTGAAGAGTTCGATTGGATAGGCCTGTTTGAGATTTAGCTGAGACGCCAAAAGGTAAGCAGCTAAACGCAAGCAAAATAGCCTAATATCAAGGAAACAATTAATCATGTATCTTACACGACAGAGAAAATAGACATAAATATTTAATGTTACTGGTGACACTAGTGGAAGAAAGACAACTTGTTTTACTATTAAACACCATTTTTGTTTTAAGATAAATAAAATAGTAATGTAGAAATTGAATAAAGTAGGTTAAACAGTAGATTTAAACAACGTGTCAAGTTCTGGCACATTGTTTACCACTTGGAATATTATGTTCAAAGTCCCATAACTTGCATAGAGGTTTTATATTTGGAGACATTCTCATTAATAATATAATTTCATATAAAATATTCTTTGCAAATTCTAAATAGTGAAATCATATTTGCAGCAAATGACTGATAACATTGTTCACAGCGAATTATAGTGTTAATGTTATTTAGAAGTCATACGTGCATGCTAATTCCAATTGAATATTCAAAGTAACATGGTAAACAATACAGACTGCAAAATGAACGAATGTGCGAATATAAAACCAACTTTACCTCTGTATAACTTGCTACCTTTTTTGAAGACGGTCAAAATGTCCGACTTAAACCAACTTTATCTGACGCATTTATCCAGAAGAACTATAGGCCTACTTAATATTTTTGAGTAATGTCATCACATATTTTATTGTTAATCTGGTCCAATGGAGAAAATTTAAACCCTCTTTTTTTACAATATAGAAGTCATATATATATATATATATATATATATATATATATATATATATATATATATATATATATATATATATATATATATGTGTGTGTGTGTGTGTGTGTGTGTGTGTGTGTGTGTGTGTGTGTGTGTGTGTGTGTGTGTGTGTAAACATTATATTATTATATTAATGTAGTATATATATATATATATATATATTGACTTCTCTATATTGTGAAAAAGGGGGTTTAAATTTTCTCCGTCGGATGAATGAATGAATATATATATACATATACATACATATAAATAAAATGTCTTTCAAAGCCACTTGCTGAGCGCTGCCCATATAATATAACTTTGATGTGTGTATGGCAATACCACCCATGACCACAAAGGGGTGGTAAAGGCAAAGGATTCTCCGCCTCAACGCTGAGTAAAAGCCACCAGAACAGTCAGTGCAAAACATCCTTCCTCACAGGACTGTTAATAAATTAGAGCTCAAATTAGAGCCTAATTTAAACAAACAAAAATAAACTCATAACACGATAAGGTGCAGTGTGATGTCAATAGCGCATAAACACGAAGGAAAGTGACACTGTAAAATCTCCTGGAGTCTTAGATGTTTGCAATTAACGAAGCTCGCACTTGAAAAAGTAAATTAAGATGAGAGGGAAACACACAGTTGGACGCTGATTATGCGACACTGAAACACTAGCGACTCATTTTCTCCAACCACAGGTGGTAAATTCTGTTTGTTTCATTTAGTGATTTAAGATTCGGTTAAAGCTGTAGGTGGCAACCTGTTATGTTATGTACTGTAGCAATAAAGTGGCTAAATGTAAATGTTTTATATGCTTAAAATATGCTTATAGTTCATAATAAATACAGTGAATTTTGCATCATTGCAAGCAGTAACCCTAAAACAAACGTTGATTTTTTTAAGGCTATAAAAAATATATATAATAAAGGCTATAAAAAAAAAAAAACTAATACTACTAATACTTCCCTTCTTAGACTTTACAGACCTGAAACTTGCCTATAGCACTTATTCATTGTTGCTCTTGGTTGTGTAAATTGCTTCCTTGTCCTCATTTGTAAGTCGCTTTGGATAAAAGCGTCTGCTAAATGACTAAATGTAAATGTAAATGTCAATAATTAAAACTGTAAAATTGAGTGATGTTTCGTGTAATTTCATGTCTTTCATGAACATATTCAAGCATGCAAAACTAACATTATCAATATTTGTAATGATGGTTTGTTTCTTTATTAGTTTATATTAGCATATATACTATTGTTATATCGTATTTTATGGTGCCCCTCTATATTTGTATAAAAATTTGGGTTGAAACTACTCGGCATTATTTAAAGTATAGAACTATATTAGAGGCAAGATAGAGTGGGGACGAAAGGACAATTTACAAAAGATAATGATTTTAGAAGAAATATATTTTTGCTGTGGTTACTAACTTATAAGAGTGGTCTATTAAAATCAGGTGTTATTTTGTATCAGTGTTGAACAACTTCAATATAACTTCACTTTAAACAAAAGTTGCATGTTGTTGTTTTGACCACATAGGCAGGGATGAAAGTAACACATGAGTGGGTCAAAAGTAACACAACAATATTTGCTAGATTTACTGGCGTAATCTTGTTTATTTTAAATACATCTGACAATGATCTTGTTAATGTTAACTGTAAACATATTTTGTCCTATATCTTTGCCAAAAAATCTTAAACTTCATTTTCCTTTTAAATTTCACTTCCGTCAAATGTTTCTAAAGCAATCCAGCATTGCAAAATGTTACAATTGTCAATATTTTAAAATTATTATTGGCAAAATGGATTAATTTGATAAAACATCTGAATCCAAACTCTGCAAACTCTAATGTGGAAGCAAAAAATAAGCTTTGTCTATTAGCTGTGGGGCATAAATAACACTGTTACTTTCGTCTCCTTGCCATTTAAACCTGATTTACTTTTAAACTGGAAAAACTTAGACATCGCAAACTTAAGGATGTGTTATTGCACTAAATAACATGTAGATTGATCATTAGTGTGATGCATGAAAAGAGAAACACATAAGGAACGCTACAATTATTTACTTTCTGCACTTAAAAACAGAAATTTGGAGCTAACTGTGGGAAACTTGAAACACTCGTCTCGAAATCAGGTGATATTTGTCAGCTCCATCAATGGTTGCATGCTGAATGTGCTGTTATAGCCTGTAAAGCAAATGTTGTCAGGGCTTTAAGAAAATACCTTTGATTGACTGATTGATTGATTTAATAATTTTAACAAAAATATGAGTCCAATTCGATTAATTCATACATATTTTAAAAACTTTCAAGGATAAAATACACAAAAAAGCCACAGGCTTTTTCCATTGTGGTCCTCGATATTATTGATATGCTGTGTTACTTTTGTCCCACGTTATTTTCGTCCCCGCTCTTTTTAATAAGTTTTATTTATAGTTGCATGCAGTTATGCATTCTATACTGATATTACACCAGTAAGTATGTTAATAGGAGTCTTGTCATTTAATAATATGTATGTAATATCTATATATAGATCGATAGATAGATGGATGAAATAGATGAAATGGCATCAATCTACAGAGATATCGGCCAGTATTTCTCTGTTGCAATTGGCAGATCACAGTAATTATCCCAGAAAAAGCCAAAGCAGCACCAATACTACCAGATTACAGTTGTGTTTGCGATAAGGAAAAACGCTAAACACATGCAAGGCATTCTTTCTTTTTACTACGCTTGTTTGCAGTAATGAAAACAGGCCAACCAATCTCCAACCAGTCTCTGTCATCATCTTGTGGATCGCGTTGTATCTCTGAAATTATAAATATTTAAAATAGGCACTATCCTTATAAAGAGATAAAAAATCTATATTATAAGAGATAAAAAAATAATAAATAAGGGAAAAATGGCAATTACAATAATTGATTTGAATATTTGGATGTGTGTTTTTCTTATAAAGTGCAAAGTATGTGTAGTGACATTTGCTAACTGAGATCCACAGATTCAAAATTATAGCAAATAAAATTAAAGCAAATTAATATTATTGCATGTGGCGACCCCAGATTATTAAAGGGACTAAGCCGAAAAGAAAATGAATGAATATTATAGCAAATTCAAAAATGTTGACATTACAATAATGAATTGCTTAGTTCTTTGTTAGTTCATGAGAGCTACTAATTTTAAAAGTTAATAAAATAACTGCTATGTAAAAGCAAATGATGAAATCTTTTTTTAGATACGGCTCACTCGAATCTCAAGTTAGCAGAGTTCATCTCAACAACTTGGAAAGAAGTTGACTGGTTAAGTTTTAACAAGCAGTCCCAAATACTGACCTACTTCGGCTGTGCTGGAGTCAGAATTGTTCATTTAAAGCTCAGAGGGCTTGATCTCTGCATAATGTTTATCTTTTTTCAGTTGGGGAAACACACTTTTGTCTCATGGTGCGGAGTAGATGCTGTAATGTCGGCTTTTCCATACTTTGTGCAAAGCTTTGATCTAACTCGCAGCGCTGATCAAATACACTGAATGCATCCAGGCTAATAATCTGTACTTAATTATTTATTTTTGTTCTTTTGTAGTCTGTATGATTGATCAAACATGTCAAAATGTTAATTGCATAGAGGTGCTGCACACAGCAGGAGTGGGGGAATCACTGTGGAATAATCAGTTCCGTCAATAATAAAAAGACAAGAGAAACTTTTGCCTTTTTTAGGAGTCAGAAAACCTCTTGAGATTCCTCTATGTGATTATTCTGCTGCATATTGTAGATACTATTGCAATGGATTTTACTGTTTAATAATTCAAATATAACCTCAGATCACACTATGAAGCATGTATACATTTTGAAGCTTTTTATGATCTTTTTAACTGGTAAAAAGTGCACCCTTTAAGAGCATATTTATTTTCATTTAGTGCATACAATACACGGGCAGACTTTAATTTGAAACAACATTTAAATATTAAATAAATGAAGGGCGAACAAGGCACTAACTAGCAGCTGTAAAACTTTTCCTAATGAAGAATTAAAATTCAGGAAATAATTAAATTAGTCATCCGTCAATTCCCATGGCTGGAATAATTTAACAGCCTCCCCTCATTTCCATTCCATAATATCGCTGCCTCATTCACAAGCAAAAACAAAAAATCCAGGATATTTTTCACAAATCAGCAGGACCATTGTGATTATGTTTTTTAAGAAACATAAACACAGTCCTCTATGCATCATTAAACATAAAAAAAATCATGAAGGAAAAAAACGCCTCTTTAATGAAGCAGAATTTCTCAAATGTAGTACAAAACCAATGCATTGATAACTTTAATGCTGAATGTGCCATTTATACATTTGTTATATTGTTATTGTATTTATCTAATACATAATCTTTTCAAATTTATCTGATACATCTGGCCAGTATAAGATTCTAACGGTATGTTTGATGGAACTGTGATTACTGGACTAAAATATATTCTTTTAAAATGTCTGGTTTAAAAACAAAAATGTTTTCCCCTTTGAGCACAATATACTTTATTTTGAGAAACATTTAAACTATTTTGGATCAGTAAACATGTCAGACTAAATAATAGAAATGAGTCTTCATTAGCTTCAGAAACACAGATTTCTTTACAATTTAAAACAGCATTTTTGGATACCTTTTCAGCTGGGGATACTGTTATCCTAAAAACATTAAAAAAAGAAGACGTAAATAAAAAATATTATATATATTGTACCTTAGAAACGATACAGCAGAAAATTTGGCGGTTTTAAAACCTTGACTTTTCCAAACCACAGGATACCTTGAAAACAGTTTTCATCCCATGCCAAATTCAGATTTTTTGAAGTAATGTCATTCTCGTCATTCATTATCTGAGGGTTAAGATTAATTCTTCATTTAGTTACATTAAGCCATATTAAGCCATGTTATGTATGGTTCGCAGAACCAAAATAGCTAAACGGTTTGTATGTTTTTTGTAAGCAAGTATACAGTACTTTAAAAATACTCAAAAATGTCTCTGTCAATGTTTTCAAACAATTATATTGGATTTATTATTTATTATGGATTTAAGTCATACAAGTGCCAATTTCACATCTGTCAAATCCATGACAGAGAGATATCACATCCAAAATGTAGCTTTTTCCTCATAAATGCAGAAATTGATTATTTCATATACATAATTAGCGTTATTTCTTTTGCTTTGTGCAATTTAATTTACAGAATTTCTCAGAAGTGTTGTACGGTATACTGTAAAATTTCTAACATTTTTGTCACATTCATAACGCATGTTTATTTTCTTCATTTAAAATCTAAAAAATGATTCAGATTGATATTTTTCTGATTCCATAACTCTCTGGTTATTTGTTTTGGAAATATAAACAGATGCTTCAATATAATGTTAATATATACTTTATCTGTGAATTTATGTTTTGAATTTTTGCTGCAAAATTCACATCCATAACGCTCGAATTGCTCAAAAACAAATAAGTTACCTTATTTCCTTAATGTTGTAACAACACAAAGGGATTGTGTGGAACCAAGCATTTTGTATAGTGCAGAATGGATTATTCTCTAAATCAGAGGTAGGGAACCTATGGCTCGCGAGCCACATCTGGCTCTTTGACCAAAGACTGTATGCGTTACTCTCCAGCTGTCTCCCTTCAATAACAATTTATAACAGTTTTAAAAATGATAACCATGACTAGAAGTCAGTTTTCGATTGAAAATTCAATTATAAATCCCTTTTTAATTGTAATTTTTAGAGCAAAATGAATAAGAACTCAGTTAGCAATAAAAGGACGTTTCAACCAATCCGCGTGTGCGGCACTATGGATAAAGAATTGCGACACCAATAAAGAGCAAACAACTTGCATTTTTATGGCAATCTTCTCATGTATGTAATTTCAAACAACATCCATGAGTGGTGATGGCGAAAAGAAAAACATTCTATAAATTGTCCTTTTTTTCCATTCATGGACTTGCTCTACATGTGATGCTTTATATTTGTTTATTTTTGAGTTGTGCATGGACATAAATAAAGTTTTTGTTTACACCTGTATTATTTAATCAATCATCTTGACAATGTCTACATGCCTCAATGCATTGAGATGCGGCCATGTGATAGGCTGATTACAAATTTGTGTTAAGGAGTTGGAGAGGTGTACCTAATAAAGTGGCCAGTGGCTCTTTAAATTCATTTGCTAAAAAAAATCATAAAAGGCTCTTTGCTGAAAAAAGGTTCCTGACCCCTGCTCTAAATGTTAATCAAATGTAAAACGATTTGATTTTACTGCTTAAGAACATTTTTGCGTTAACTGCTTGTTAAAAAAAAACAGTTCATATAGTACTGATTTAAATTGAAAATAAAAAGTGTGTAATAATATACCTCACAGGGGACAAACTGCTAAAATCAAACTTAAGCAAACATCAGAATTCCTAAGCAATTTACCTCAATTGTATTTACTAAAACACCAATTTTTACTTGAGCATCTCTGTAAAGTGTTCCTTTGGATTTAACCCATAGTGCAGGATGTCCTCTTTAACGGAGGCCCAGGCCATGCGTGGAGTGGTGAAGCTGGCGGTCCAGTCGCCCGTGGAGGACAGAAGGACAGCTCCTCCACATCCCTTCACCCTCTGGCTCATGTACTGCAGCGAGGCTTCAGCGGCGCCTACGGCTGATTTCCCTGCATTGCACAAGAAAACACTCAAGTATGTGTCAGTGTCAGCAAAGTTAGCAGCAGAACTTTATCTCCCTGCCATCCCATTTATTTTTGCTGTACTTTATCACAAGCATTTCCTGTCAGGCTTGTACATTGAGGATAAAATATAGAACTGCATAAATAGATGGTAGGGATTTTAAGGTTTAATAAGGCAGTAAAAATCGTATAATGCAGTAACACCTGTTACTGTCATAAACCAATGCGGTATTATCCACCATTATAAGGATTTTATTCACTATTCAATAAGATATTGTTATTATTATTATTATTATTATTATTATTTTATATTCAATAAAGTATCCTGAAAAAAGAAGTGTTTTCCCAAACATATTGAGCAGAATAACTATTACCCTTGAGCATCAGATCAGATTTTGAAATGATATCAGGAACTTCAGCTTTGCCAACACAAGAATAAGTTACAATTTTAAAAAAATATTGAAATAGAGAACATTTATTTATTTTATACTGTAATGTTGTTTCACTATAATAGAGTAAATACAGTATCGTTAATCATAGCGACATCTTTCAAAAAACTGACCGTCTTACCACTTTCACATAATTTTTCATTGTGCTCTTATTTTCTTGGTGTTTTCCAACACAATAGAACAATCTAAAGTGCATTTGGTCTCTCTGTGTTATTTGGTGAAGCGCTGCACCTATTGCACAGCATTTGTATCCTTGCTAACCCTCTCCAGGTCTTAAAGTTAACAATAGATGTTGCTCTCATGGTTTGCTCATTCCATCAATCTTAGTGAAACAACTGGGCTGTTAAAAACAAGTAGAAAACTTCAGCTTATTGCAAAAAGACAAACACTGCATCAGTATACTACAGTATAGGCGGATTAATATCTACATGGTTTAATTTATTTATTTTCTGTGGACATGTTCTGTAAAAGCTATACTGTAATGTGCCAATTACATTATTTTTCTTTCATGTGTCCAATGTCAAAGTTTATTTTTTTCTTTTGAGCAGTCATTTTGTATTCCAGCTTTAACTGGGGCCTAGAAATGTAACATTTATAGATACAGCTGTGGGAAAAGTTTGAGGAGCCGCTTGGAAATTCTCAAGTTCTCTGAGGTGGATTTACTTGATGTGGGTTTGAGTAAAATATGGTTGTATCCGATAAAGGTTTGATAAAAGGATTTTTTTTTTCCAGAAAATGAGGTTTAGTTAGAATAACAGATATTTTCATTGGTTTGAAATTCAAGGTTATTCCGGTAAATATTGATTGGTTTCAGTAACTCTTTTGAAATTAAAGCATCAGTATTGACTTTACATACACTACCGGTCAAAAGTTTGGCCTCAGAATGATTTTTAAATGTCTTAAAATAAGCTTATCCTTCTCACCAAGGCTGCATTTATTTGCATTTAAATAAAAAATTCAAACAGTTCAAATTGTAAAATTGTAAAATGTTATTGCATTGTAAAACAACTGTTTAAAAGTAGTTAATAATTTAATTTATTCATTTATTCCAGTGATTTTAAAGATGAATTTTCAACTTCATTATTCCAGTCTTCAGAGTCGCATGATCCTGCAGATATCACTCTAATAATAATAATAATAATAATAATAATAATAATAATTATTATTATTATTAATAATAATGGTAATGATAATAGTAGTAAAAGCAATAACAACTGGAGTAATAATGTTATTTGAAACCACATACAGTTAGAAAGCAGTTGTTAAAAATTTTAATAAATATTTAACAAGTCAACATTTTTTTTACATTTGATAAATCCCACCTTGATGAACAGAATAATAAATAAAAAAAACTGACCCCAAACTTTTGACAGGTAGTGTACGTTCATATCAACAAGTCTGGCAACAAAGATCCCCCCCCCCCCCATTTTATGTGTTAAATAACAATTTTATTTTAAACAAAGAAATGCTAGTACTTTGTAGAACAAAACGAAAATGCAATCTACTTAAACACATACTGTAACTATATATGAGAAGTTTTATCTGTTTTAATAGCCAAAATCAATTAAATCAAAGTGATGGATTTTTAATTAATTTATAATTTTTTTTTTTTTTGCTAAAAATCATTAGAAAATTAAGTAAAGATTGTGTTCCTTGAAGACATTTTCTCATTTTTCTTCTGTAAATCTGTTTTTCTCTATTTAGATTTGTTTTAATTCACAGGTTCCATATTTTCAAATGGTTTTATCTTGGTCAAATAATCTCCTATCCTAAAGATATGCATAGATAAAAGTCTTGTTTATTCAGCGTTGAGATGGCATATAAATCTCAATTTCCAAAAATTCACAATTATTACTATATGTATTATTACTATGGTCATAATTGTAAATCTAAAATTGTAAATTTTGTTAATTGTAAATGAACTGAGAATTTTCAAATGGTCTTTTGTATTTCTATTACTTAACCTTGTATATCAAATGAGGAGGACCCTATAGCACTCCCAGTAATTGCTAAAACCATTAACTGGTGTAGAAAAACAGACTATGTGCCATTGCAGTATCATTACCACAGAATGCCAACAGCCTGCTGACCCTTCACACTCTTTCCACAGACAAACACACACCTCATTATCATCTGCCTTCTGTGGCAGCGCATCCGATCCTTCCTCTCTCTCTCTCTCTCTCTCTCTCTCTCTCTCTCTCTCTCTCTCTCTCTCTCTGTCTCTCTCTATCACTCTCACTCTCTCACACACACACACATACACACCAATTAAAATGACTGGCAACAGCAGCATCCCATTTTTGTGCGATTTGACATTCATTCTTGGTTATACAAAATCTAATAATAATAGCTACATGTGGTTGAGGGTAAATGGGGTATAGATGATCGAGACCTTGTACGCCAAAACAATATGAATACAAGTTGCATAATAGTAAAAACATGAACAAATAAGAGGTATAGCAGTGGAAAGGTGATGCGAATTTGTCATAGAAAAATATAAGTAAAAAATAATGGCCATTAAATGTATGTTTGTGTGTAATTCCATACACTTACATTGTTTTATATTATAACTATTGGCTGCACAATATATCACTAAAATATCATTATTTTGATATGTAATATGAAAATAGTTTATCTTTATAAAAGAGCAGTGCAATAAATTAAAAAAAATTTGTGCACCAAGGATTTGTGTGCTTCATTGATAAGTTGGTTATCCAAATCTGACCAATTAGATGCTGCCTATCAATTTCAAACACCACTCCAGTAGGTGCGGTTAGGGGAACCTAGAATTGAAAATAAATACAAATGCTGGGAGACAAGAGAGAAAAAATTACAACAGCCAACAAGAATCAGAATGTCTGCCAAGGTTTTCAGTCATTCATGGTGTTTTAAAATCTAAATGTTTATTTTATTAATATTATTGTGCAGAACAATATCTATTATCTGTTTGTTAAATGGCCATTATCGATAATTTTGATGATTTAAAAAAATATACTTGGTAACACTTTATTTTGATGGTCCATTTTAATATAAGTAGACTCTCTGCTTAATATCTGTTAATAGCTGCTAAACAGACATTTAACTGACTATAAGAAACTTTGCAAGTACATATCAGCTTACTCTTACTCTAACCCTAACCCTAACCTAACAGTCTACTTATAATCTATTGCAAATTAGTTGGCCTGTAGATGTAATGTAACTTAGGGTGCTTTCACACGTGAATCGATTCAGTTGTTCCGAAACAGGGATTAAAATTGTTACAATGTTGCTCTTTGTTCTTGGTTCAGTTCGCTTTCACACGGCAAAGTTTCTAAACAGAACAAAAGAGCTAAAACAAGTCACGTGCGAGCAAACTCTCCTCACATTGGTCAGAGTTTCATGGTTTATTTTGGTTTGGTGTATTATGGTTTTAGTCCTGCTCAGCTGTCATGTGTCCTTATTTTAATTTATGATGATAAGCAATAAAACTTTATAAGTTTTATTAACTTTCTCATGCATAGCCCTTGGCTAGACTGCAGTTAGGTTAATGATTGTAACGATAAACAATTCTTGTTAGTTGCTAGCATGCTTTCACTTTTGCATTTAACATAAAACGCACATTTACTGGTAGGAATGGCATCTCGCCCTACTCCTAATTCTCTCTTCTTATAGCCATATATGCCTATTGCATATCCATAATACTCTGTAATATAGCTGGACTCGGATCGTTTTGCTTTCTCACTACAATCGATCCGCTCTAGAGTTTGTTTTAATCGAGGCGAGACTACCTCATTCAGGCGATCTCGGACCGATTGATTTGGCGCGGATCCGAGCGTTTCACATTTGCTAAACAAACGGCGCTGACCGGGCAAACGAGACAGGTTCTGAAACAAAAGTCTTGGTGTGAAAGCACCCTTATATTCAACAAACGGACCACCAAATTAAAGTGTGACTAACTACTTTTACACTTTTTAAAAATTTATTTATTATCACAACACTTGTTCAGCCCTATATCAGTGTGACATGCTATACTCCATGTATTCCTATACATTTTGTTGTTGTATTAGTAGTGGTAGTAGCAGCAGCAGCAGCATGGACATAGATTTCAGGGCAATGTTTTGATATAGAATATTTACTCTGTATATTATTTATTTATAATATTTATCTATCACTCTTTGGGACTTTATTTATCACACTTTGGGTTACAGGACTTGCATGTGAAATAGTTTATTTAAAAATTTGATGGTGAATTTTCTGCATTATTGCACAAGTCTTAAAGGGCACCTATTTTACCCCTTTTACAACATGTAAGTAAGATAAACCTTTGGTGTCTCAATTTTGCCCATTTTGGTGTCTGAATACAGTGTAGTTGTTTTTGTAGCTTGTGGCTTTAAGTGCGAATGAGCTGCTTCTTCCTGCCCACCGTTCCCATGTGCATGTCTGTTTCTCCTGCGTTACATCAAATAAATAGCTGTCATTGACAGAGACAGACTCGGGTGAAGCTGAAATACAGCTCATTTCTCAAAAATACCAAGTAAGTTTATTTCATGTATTTGTGGTGGAGTTTATTCAAGCCTTTCTGAAATGATGAGTCTCACACAAATGTTGTTTGCAGTACACACACACACATATATTAGCGTTTATTGAAACTATGCGGCTTTGGTGATTACAGCGGTTAAGGATTATAGTGATTTTACTGTCTTTATTACAAACGTGCTCTGTTTTAAAAACATTTTAAACTTATAAAAATCACAAACTTGTAACCGATGTTTTATTCCTAATTTAATCAAGGTATGCAAAAAAAGCTCTGTGGACGTGTATTCATGTTGATGTTGTTGTTGTTGTTGTTGTTGTTGTTGTTTTTATAGACACATGGTGCCTGTCAATTCGGTGGATGGGGAAAACTCCTACGTCACATTGCGATGGGCCTCAAAATCACTAGGATTTGAATCCTATTTTAACGTCAGGACATTTAAAAAAAAAGACACTTGTGTTTCTATCACCCCAATATAACAGTAGAATATACATACAGACAGTTCAGTCCAAACAGCTTACAAAAGGTGATTTTCATCATGGTGCTCAAGAAACATTTCTAATCAATGTTGCTTTCTATTTTAAGGATACTTTATTTAGGACTCTTTGACTAATGAAAAGCACAGAGAGCAACATTAAAATCTTTCATTGTCACAATCTTTTTTGCAATCTTTGCTTCTTTAATTATGATCTAAAAAAAATCATGGTACCCTCAATTCTTGAAAGGCAATGCATATTGACATTTTTGGATTCAGCATAAAATTAAGCAAATATGGTTAATTTTGTATCCCTAAAATGTAAGCAAGTGTGCATGCCCACTTACACATTCATCAGGATTAGTGGAAATGTCTCATACCTTGCTCAACGTGAAAGAGGATTAATCTGGCTAAGGTGACTTTGAGAATAGACTCTCCATGGCCGGTACAGGAGACTGCGCCGCTTCTATTGTCTGCATATCCACCAGATCCTTATCGCACAGGAAAAAGACACCAGCACAGACAGTCACACGTTAATGTGTGTTAACCCAGGAGAAAACACTCTGACAATTGAGTATTGATCAGAGCTGACACCTTCAAACCGAAATGGCTCATTCAACCGAGGCCCTGCTTCAAAATTAAAGTTGCTGTGACACTGAGATTAGCTCTGTCCTCCATCTCTGATCAGACTCACCTATAATAGGAGAATCACCAACTCTTCCCACCATTTTGTTTCGAATTCCTCCGGTGGATGTAGCGCACGCCACATTACCCGAAGAGTCCAGAGCCACCGCTCCAACAGTATCATGACCCCTGTAATTATAGAAAACATGTTAACAATATATTTCCCAGCACTTAGACATGGTGTTTTCAAAAGGTGCTTTGAAGAGAGAACATTATTATTCATCACACTCAGAGATGTGCCTCTAGCTTAGTTCCTCTTCATCAGTACAGGAACTCAACTTAATGCGCCACGCTCATAATCTCCTGGATAAAAGCCTCAAACTTCCTTCCAAATTTAGCCTCGGTGCAATTACTCTTGTTTCCAATGCGATTTCCAGTCCACAGAAATGCATGTTGTTCAGTTCTGGAGATGTGAGAGATGTTTGAAAGCGAGTGTGTTAATGACAACCTCACACATGCTTTCAAGAGTGCCAGCACACCCCAAATTGACTCATCATCATCTGCCTTTCTACAAAGGAAAAGAGCAAGAATAAGTGCCCTTCGCTACTCTGATTCACAGCCGCTAGTCTAGCAAAGTACACTCATAGAGATTGCAGGGAAAGTGTTGTAACAGTTGAGATATTTTTGTAGACACACATAAAAAAGTATGCATTGTTCTTCACCAAAACAAAACAATTCTTATGATGTGCACATCAGTCTTCCCTGCCAGTTCACTTTAAAGGAAATAGAATAGAGAGCCGAATGTGGGATGAACAGACACCCTTGTATTTCGCAGCCTTCATATCCCAAGAAACTCTGATTAAGGCAGCGGTACTGTGGAAAACAAGCGTATGTTATGAGTTTGAAGCCGCGAGGAGGACAATAGTTCAAGGTGAAATTAAAGGAAGCAGCCTCCGTGCCATTCTCGTCAGAAATGGGAGAGCAAACATGGTCCTCGTGGAGAATATTTGTCTGAAGCAGCTGGCAACGAATCACTTGTCAGGTCTCAGATTCGAGGCATCAATCATTTTTGGCAGGCGCTTGATTGCTCTTTTAAATCACCGGCGATGCCTGGATCTTGCTCATCGGTTCAGAGGAAAATTGGCTTTTAAAAGCAGCTTGACGGTGGACTGTATTTCACACTTCAAAATGATCACAGAGTTTTGCTGAAGATCTTCACACATGTATGAAAGGCATAATGAAGCGTGACAATATTGGAATAAAATTTGGTCGAGTTCTCATTAGGAAGAACAGGTGGTCTTCATTTTTTTAATGTAAATAGGTTTTCTATACACTAGTCATTAAGCCTAAATGTTGGTATATGTTTATCAGTGTGTGCCTGTTTTGGCCTGACTGTGTAAAAGTTAGATCATGTGTAATATAAAAGTACACATACTTTGAGGCAAAGCCACACTTGTGAGATAATCACAGTTTGATGTTCTTTTAAAAGATAGCTTTTCTGGCAGGGAAGAAGGAAAATGTGACCATTTAGTTGTAGACTGGAGCCCCCTTTGTTCTAAAACGGTCATGCACTTAATTTTAAGTGTTTGCAAAGGGCCTCTTAAAATGTCAATTTTTATTTAGAAGAACTTGCCAATGTTTCGGTTCTGTTCACTAAAGTAGACATCATTGGCACGCGCACGTCCTCTCTGTTGTAAACAAACAGTGATTTGTGATTTTTGTGGCCACAAATTCATCATTACATTAAGACAGAAATGACATTTTTGGATGAATTTTAACTTATAAATACAGTATGTGACACTTTTAACATCATTTGGAGGTGTCCATGTTGCTAACATAAAACAGTGTACAGACTTGTGCAACCGCCTTTACCCTTCTCTCTGGAACTTGAAATTATAATTGACTGAATAATAGAAAAGCTGAATTAAGATCGCATGTAGGGTCGAATCAAGATCTTTTTTTCCTTTTTTGATTAATCGGGCAGTCCTAGTCAATAATAGACTTATTTTCAGCCTTTCTAAAATCCTACCTCAAATTAGTTTTGTTTAAAAACTAATATTTGATCAAATAAAGTGAACAAGAGATTATTGTATTGCTAACATTCTTTCCAAATGCTATTCTCTGTCCCTACACCAAACATAGAGGTGACATGAGCAAAGACTTTTAAAGCCCATTATACTCGGTGTGTAATAATCTTCTAACGTGTTGTGTCTACTATATGCTCAAATTGGTGGGTGGGACTAAACAGGCAGTAATGTAATTATGGGTTGACCATGTGTCCTCTTTTTCTCAAAAATTCCTTCTTTTTGGGACCAAAAAAAGTGTCTGGCTGGGATTTTTAAATGTCCAAAATGCCAGGATTTTGCTTCTGAATACATTTTTGCATTTACATTTTACTTTTATTATTCATTCATTTTCTTTTCAGCTTAGTCCCTTTATTAACCTTGGCTCGCCACAGCGGAATTAACCGCCAACTTATCCAGCATATGTTTTACACAGTGGATCCCCTTCCAGCTGCAACACATCTCTGGGAAACATCCATACACACTCATACACTACGGACAATTTTAGCCTACCCAATTCACCTGTACTGCATGTCTTTGGACTGTGGGGGGAAACTGGAGCACCCGGAGGAAACCTACGAGAACGCAGGGAGAACATGCAAACTCCACACAGAAACGCCAACTGACCCGCGACCTTCTTGCTGTGAGGCAACAGCACTACATACTGTGCCACCGCGTCACTGTATTACTTTTATCATTTTACTTTCTCTTTCGTCTCCCACCATTGGTCAGTCATGTATGTACACAAATATTGGCCAGTGCATCTTAATCCCTCAGCACCAAAGCAACAGCCAAGAAAGAGAGCAGCAGCTTTTACTTGTCACTTGTACACATGGCTCCTGAACAGCCAATAAATGATTTTGAAAAATTTCTTAATTAAAAAAAATTATTTTAAAAGATGTTAAATGCAAACAATTTTTTTTTTGTTTGTGATTTAATCCATTTGTTGAGGGCCAAAAGTTTAACAGAAAAGATGTCAGTATCATGTCAATATGTACAGTATATAAAGTTCAGTAACATAGTTAGCTAATATGTCAAAGGAGAATTTGACTTTTTAATTTATGAGCTGTTTAAGTTGGCCATAAATTTTCTCTGGCCGTAAAATACAAGATAAAATATAGCTAAACTACCTAAAAAGGCATGTAAATTAAAATAACCATTAGGTAAGATCAGCTGTCAAATGCAAATGAAAAAAAAAAAGAGTTGTAAGAACCGATTTAAATAAGAAAATCAAAGAGGCCTGTCTAACGGACAGTTGCAAATCAATCCAAAGTCTAGGACAGGCGTGACCAACCCTGTTCCTTGAGATCGACCTTCCTGCAGATTTCAGTTGTAACCCATATCAAACACACCTGCCTGAAATCATCAAGTGCTGTTCAGGTCCTAATTAATTGGTTCAGGTGTGTTTGATCAGGGTTAAAGCTGAACTTTGCAGGAAGGTCGATCTCCAGGAGCAGGGTTGAGCACCACTGGTCTAGGACATACCACAGTGAAAGTTGATCCCTTCTAAGCTTACACTTTGTTTTTGGCACAATCAGCAGAAGCTGATCAGCTGACCTGAGAGAACGAGTGGGCTTATAGGGGTGTATCAGCTCAGCGATATAAGGTGGGGCAAGACCATTTAGAGATTTAAAACCAAATAAAAAGAATCTTAAACTGTATTCTAAAATTAACTGGCAACCAATGAAGCCAAGCTAACATGGGGAAATGTGGTTATTTTTTTCCAATACCAGTTAACAGGTGTGCTGCAGCATTTTGCACCATTTGCAAACGGGCAACAGCAGACCTGCTACTCCTCACATACAGTGCATTACTGTAATCTATCCGAATGGTCATAAAAACATGGATTACTGTCTCAAACTGTTTTTTTGGTATTTAAAGTATATTGCTGTTTGTTAGAAAACACTGTCTATGCCAGCAAAGCATCACTGGATCAGTCAATATCATGAGTTTGGTGTGGAGCTATCTGTTTGTCTAGGCCAGGGGTGCCAAAACTCAGTAATGGAGGGCCGGTGTCCTGCATAGTTTTGCTCTAAGTTCCTTCAGCACACCTGCCTGGAAGTTTCTAGTATACCAAGAAAGAACTTAATTAGGTGGTCCAGGTGTGTTTAATTGGGGTTTAACTAAAATATGCAGGACACCGGTCCTCTCAGACAGAGTATGGGCACCCCTGGTCAAGGCAGTAGCACAAGGAGACTAACTGTGCTGTGTAAGAAATTTGATAATAACAGAAATAATCTTTGGCCATGAATAGTACAGTACCCTTATATATTACATCACTGTCCAATGCTTTATTCTGATGTGATCTCCATCGAATAAACTGGAAGGACTGCCATGCAAGTGTACTTTTATAAAGGTATAGTGAAGCCAGCAGGGCAGAGGAATGCCATGTAATCACCTAAATAAAGGTGGAGGGTAATGGAGTTCTAGGGCCTGTGTGTTAAAAAGCCCAGTGATGGTGGTACAGGGTGAGCAGAGGGAGGCTATCAATAATGAAGCCACAGCGGGCGGGATGAAAGGCAGTAGCTCAGCCAACTGTCACTTAGCACCTCCACAGCACTATTTTTACAGACTCCCTCAGGGGCTGAGGTTACACCCCGCCACGGCCCTGACTCCACTAGTACTCAGCACTAAGCCTGGGGAAGTGGAGGTGGCAGGTACGGCTGCTTTTTCTGGAGCCCACACCACTCTAACTGCACTGCCTGAAGCCTCGGGGAATGACTGGAGCGCTGTGAAGGCCAGCTTGTGAATATGCTGAAATTCTGAAATTTAGACCACTGTTTCTTTTAAAGCTACAAGACTCAATATTATATTTAATGTAGATAGAGGCTAGATGATGATTTATCAGCCGATAATTACAAGCAGCAAAGATGGTACAAACTCAATCAAACAATACAACAGGAGAAAAGAAAAAAAAAAATTCAGTTATGAGCCTTCAACTGTGTAATACATCACATCTTGATGCTTATATAATAAGTTATTTAAGGAGTAACTGAACTTGTTTTAGTCCAATTAGGTTCACATCTTAAGAATTAGAATGAAAATACATCAGATAAAAAAAACCTTATAATAACATCCAAGCAAGTTGTCAATTTCAGACAGATAATATACAATGTTGTATATCTTATCATATACCCGGCGCAATAAGGGTCAAGACGTGTTTGCTGTGATGTGTTGCTATTTTCAGACCAGCTCAACCCTAATTTTTCTGTTTTGTGCCACTTGTCTAAAAAGCAAATCCATTTGTGCCACTTTGTGGACTCATGGGTGTTCCGGTCTAGTAAAGAGGTCTGGTAATGATTAGTTCAGACTGCGTGATTTTACCCCCGATTTTGGCTCGCCAACAGGTTTTGAGAAATCGCCGACAAATGCCTAAAAAACACAGGCAAATCGGTGCTCGTGCACGTGAGTGACAATCACACAGTATGAACTATTAAAGACACGATCTGAGAGAATCGCCGGTGAGTCGCTGATGCCTGCGAGATGTTTGGCATGCTAAATATCTGGAGCTGTTGACGATTCAAATCATGCTGTGTGAATTTAGTTTTGACTAAAAATAACATCATCGTTCGCCTACAGCCAATGAGAGAGCGGCATTCACTTGTGTGTGCGTGTGTGTATACCTGCTGCAGGCCAGCGGGAGGCTGGAGGGGAAGTTAAAAGCGCTTTTTTTCGGTTTATTTAGACCCACGAAATGGAGGAATAACTAGTGGATGTTTGACATGACTCAGGAGCACCTGTCTCTGTTTGACGTTTCATTCAGAAAGAAATAAGTTTTTTATCAATGTTAAGGAGAAATGGCTAATTCCCTTTAATCCCAGGTGAGCAAATATGTACATTTTCTACCCCATTAAAGGCTTCTTTCTAATTATGTAGTTAATAACAAAAGATATACTACGTGTTTTTGGCTGTGAGACGTAGTTTGGACGAAGTTGTCGGCGATTCTTCCTATAGTAAAGTCATGCAATGTGAAAGTCCCTGTCGCCGATCCATCTTGCAGTGTAAACAAAGCAGCGACGAAACGCTAGCCCAGATAGTCAAGCAGTGTGAAAACATCTGTGACACTTTGAAAATCATGCAGTCTGAACTCGGCATGAGGCGCATTACTATTTTGAGGAACTAAAATATACTGTGCAATACACCAGCTAAAAGCAGGTCTTTAGTCCAGCGCAGAGCGCATTAGTTGTGTGCCTCGCTTACACATTAATACACACAGGATGAACAGCAATACACAAAAATCTTGCAAGTGACAAAGATTTAAAGGATAAAAATGTTACAAAAATAATTATTTTCTACATAAATATAAAAACCACTACCTCCATGCTTCCCCTATCTCGGGAGTTTTTTTCTGTTTATTCAGAACAACTTGTTTTTGTTTAATGTTATTATTATTATTAATTATATGCATGTTTATTTTATTGAAAACAAGCTTAGATTTGCCCACCTGTCAGGTTTTGGACCATATGAGGGATAGGACTTGTGTTTGGAAATTACTTAGTTATTATTGTTCATTTATTCGTTATTATATATGTTATATACGTTAACTTATAAATAGTTTTTAAACAAATCTTTGCACTTAACAAACAATAACTAAATATGTAGGCTAATGGATGTCTGTGTGTGTAACACCGTTTCATTATCCATGAAAGAGAGAAAGAGAAAGTAAAGAGGCCGAATGGAGGAGGCTCATTCTTTATCCTTGTGCTGCAGATGCTGATTAACTGTTTTCTTGCTAGTGAAGCGTTCAGTTTTTCCTCTTACAAAGTTCGTCATGTAAATAGCAAATGCCCCATGGCGCAATGCAACTGATTCTTAAAGGGAATGGGAGATGAAACTCTAATTGGTTTATTCTCAACAATCTCATAATTCATTAAGAGAATAAGAACAACCCTCTTAGACGATGAGCCGAGGTGCAGAGTGTATTTTTCTGACCTTAAAATAACAAAAGTGGATTCGGACACCCTTAATGCATTTGCGCCCTTTAGAGTTTGCACCTAGATGGTTAAAATAGAGCCCTTTGTCTTAAAAAAATTATTGAAGGAAAAATGTATATGGTTAAAGTGGAAACAATTTGCAAAATACATTTTTATAAATATGTTATTCTTGATTGCATTAAGCACTACAACACATCTAAGTTGATGATATCTTTCTAAATTTAAATGAACAGCGAACTTTCTCTCTAAAGATGAAACTTTTTCACTGTCAATCGTTTATTCTGCAATTTTTGCACCACTGCCTTTGTTTATACACATACAAATGTGGCAAACCAAAAGCTTTTAATTTTAGGTTTGGGAAACTCAATTGAATAGGTTTGCTTCATGCGGGGCCGTGTGACCAATTGGAAGACTGATGCCTAGCAGCTTGCCCGAATAATTAAATGAACACAAACTTTGAACTTGTAAAATTGTTGCATTGCAATAAAGCAGGGTAGAATGCATAACTTTTTCATAACTTTACATATTTTTTATCTTAAATGTATTTATCACTGCAGCGAGTGAAATATTATAACAAAAGTTTTTGTGTGCATAGAAATTTCGTGTGCTTGGTGTCTAGTGAAATTGTTTTGTAGTGTACAGTATCTCACATTGTAGAAAAAAACATTAAGGTAAACCATTTATATGTTGATTACCCCCACCCCCATGAGGAATGGGCATTTAATTCATTTAATAATAAGATTAAGATCACCCACCATTGTGTGTTAAAAAACTTTTTGACTCCATCAGGATAGCTTTTGCTATGTTCCCACTCTTTCCGCTCCAGCTCAGTCACCAAATCATGAGCTACTGGAGTACCAATGTGCTCCGCAAACATGCTTGCCCCTCTATCTGTCAACATGACATGATCTGTCTGAGAAAAAAAAACACAGACACACGCACACACACACATAAACACAAAAGCTTTTAGAATGATGATTATCAGCAGCATTATCCTTACCCAATCCAACTGTCTGACATCACAGTTTCCAGATCAGATATTAAAAGTCAATAACAAATGGTACTAATATAACACTCACTGTGTGGTGTGCTAATGCTGAAAAATCAGGATCCTAACCTTTATTCCCATACTAAAATTTCAGCGATTTATTTATTTTTTTCTGAAATGTTCAATTATTAGTGTCTGGGACGGTGTGAGCCTGGGGACTGTATAGTACACCAGGGGTTTTTAATGTGCTCATAAACCGTTAAGGATGGTATTCTTACTTGAAATGGAGTGGAGGCTTGGACCTAGAAAAGAGTATTTGATACGTCATGACTTGGCAAGCAGATTTCATACTAGATTTTCAAGCTCCTATTAAATATTCATGTTTGAGGCATGACTAGTGTTATTTATGTTATACAACGCGACTTTAAAGTCTTGTCATGCAATGTTAACCACAGACCTTATTTCCACTCATAAATCAGAAATGTGCTGTACAGAAAGCCTAACTGAGTCAAAAATCCATTCCAGAGGAAACTCATGGCGAATTTCCCTCATGGGTGACACACAAAACATCTCAATAGCAGGCATTCGGCATTGCCTTTCTGCAGATCATGTAAATTGAGATTATACTTGTTTAACTTGTTAAAGAGATCTAATACATATATGTGTATTAGCTAAAACTAGGCTTAATTTGGGCTGTTAATGAACATCTAATAGTCCAACACTAGACTCACTCTCAAATATGGATACATTACTGTCAATTTGATGACAGTCTAATAAAATATTGTTACATTCTGTTAGAAAAAAAACAAAATTTATTAGATCTATCAAATCTATTAGACTTTATTTAAACAAAGGCTGCTGGGTGTAATGATAACTATAGTTATATTCTGTTATGATCACCAGTTGCAGATCGCTGGACAACTACAATTCAGCCACTGAATAGAACTACAACTACCATAACGCCAATCTGAACCCATTACAGCTGGTAATAATTCAGACACTCACACACAGCTGAAACTTGTCATCACTGATTCTTTGTCACCTGTACTGATTATTCTCCTGTTTATGACCACAATTCTGGCTTTCTCTGTTTGCCCCTGTTTTGACTGTTGCCTGCCTAACTAATCTTGCGCTGTCATACCTTTTAAGTATTTTTCCATATTTCTCCCATATTTTTAATCTTGAAAACACGTTGGAATTGATATAAAAATGTCTGCATTCACTTTCTATTTATCAAAGCTGTTTGTCGATTATTACCTTTATATGCAACCTCTGAATCAGTGAATGTGCATATAAGCCCTGACTGACCCCAGATCAGCTTTTATACATGCCATTTAAAAAGGAGCTAAAGTGCAGGACACTTTGGGATTTGGGTGTGTGTTTAAACAGAAAAATACACCTAATTAGATGTAATCATGTCTGTCCTGTGTGCTTTACTTCTCTTAAATGAGCACAAACCGTTACTAATGTAAACGAATGCTTTCATTGTGGATCTGTGCATTCTTAGAGTGACACCTCTGTAAAATATGGGGGAATCCCAGCAACAGAAGGGTTGATGCGTATGTAGTGAACGGGGAGTGTTTGTGGTATAGTTTTGCAAGAGAACGCAAAACATCTTTGTGAGGGAACGTAAAAACTTAAAAAAGATATATATATATATATATATATATATATATATATATATATATATATATATATACATATACATATACATACACATACATACACACACATACATACATACATATATATATATATATATATATATATATATATATATATATATATATATATATATATATATATATATATATATATATATATATATATATATATATATATAAATATATATATAAAATATATAAAGCACACACACACACACACACACATACGTGTGTGTGTGTGTGTGTGTGTATATATTTCCTAACACTCGTTTTTTCTCCTGTGTGTTTTTTTTTTTCTCCCACCCAGTTTTTTCTTTTTCCACCCATTATTTTTCCCACCATCATGTCCCTTCTGGGTCTCATTAACATTGTACACCAATATATAGTAATATTCTGTTTATTGTAAGCACCTTCCGTTTGTCATCTGCTGCTTTAAATGCAGAGACTGGAATGAATTCTGATTGGCTGTCATTGTTTCAGCCAATCAGATCTTTACGAAAGTGATTTTAATTATTTTTTTTTCTGTGCCACTGCTGTTGTGAACTGTTTTTTATTTTATTTTATATTTTTTTTATGTTATTATTTTTTATTATTTTTATTTATTCACCCAAAACTATATATTTGTTGTTTTATCTATGCTAGTCAATGCTAGGTTACATTCCATTTAAAAATCACAAAACAACAATATGACTCGCATAAATCAGCTACATCATAACACAAGTAAACCTGTTTCTTTCGATAGTAGCTGTGCACATCCCCATGCAGAACTGCTGTTATTTATTGAGACAATACACTGCTGTCTCCAATAATACAATTGTATTTCCTTGTGTAAAGGATTAAAACATAACTCTGGCTTAGGAAAGTTTTAAATATTAACATGGTTATTAATGTCATTTTTCTTTGTCAAATACTGTGCATTATAGATAGCACAGCAAGAGCATGAGGTCAGTGAAGCTTGATCGCAGCATTGATCAGGCCCTGATGAATTTTTAATACTGGCTATTAAGGAGATCTGCCAATCCACTGTAAGGCCAAGGTCTTTTGGGGCAGTCAAGACAGGTGCTGCAACTAATCAATTATCATGTTTTCTCTGGGTTTTGTTTCCTCCATGTCCAACGCCTTGCAAGGTGAACTCTAGCATTTTAATCTCTTTGACACCTACCTTCTATGTATTTTTGCATGGGGATCATTTTAGAGACTAATGCTTCTTGTTAGCTAATGCTGATGCAAGATTTCTTTATGTAATCATGTGCAGAAAACTATCCTACTTCCTTGAAAAAATATATATCTCAAAAATATTTGTCCTAAGATTTTGTGTCAAGGCAGCCTCATTCTCCATTCAGTTCAATAAAAATAGTCGGTTAACTGATCAGATGGCCTTTGGGGCACATTCTGCCAAACATTTTGTGCAGTCCCAGCATGTTTTAGAGTACATTTACACCACAACCATGTATTAAAAATAGAAATGTTATGACCCATACCAAAAGAACTGCACTGTTTGCAAGCAGAAGTACTGTAGAGGAACGCTGCATGCAAGCTTTGTATATTACATTTTGCATTGTGGAGGACTTGCAGTTTTTGCATACTATCAGTTTTAAAGTCTCCAGACAATATTACCACCTTCCTATTCTTATTCTAATATTATTTTTTATCTTATTTCTCTTATACTTTCTGGTATGGATTGCATCATAAAAACATCTGATCTCATGTCAGCACAAATTGTTACTTTTGCAGATAGTTACTTATTTATTCATTGAAGTTGAACACATAATTCATTCAAGTTACTTTCAAAAAAAGGTTAAACAGTTGAACCAGGTTCAATTAGGTTCAAACCTCAAAGATTGTATTTTAAGGTTGAACAACATTCTAATGATTTTTGAACAACATGGCAGTGAGTAGGCAATGACAGAATGTTCATTTAAAGGGCACCTATGGTGAAAAATCTACTTTTCAAGCTGTTTGGACAGACATGTGTGCAAGTATAGTTTATAGACTGTCATATTGGGGTGATTATAAACACACCCAGTCCTTTTTTTTTCAATTTAACAATATAAAAACGGTGAACCAATTTCAGCGGTTTTTAGATTAACCGCAACTTGACATAGGAGTGCGGTCCCCCCGCCCACCAATATTGATCGACAGGCACGCACTACCTAATCCTCAGTTTGTCGTGTCACGTCCCCCATTTTCAGCGTGTAAGTCAAAGTGGTGTCACTAAAGGATGTAAGGTCACTTTAAGATGTAAGGCTCATTGTGCTCAACACAAGGTCAGAATTTACCGAATGTTTGTTTGTTGGTAGGTTAGTTAGTTTGTTTGTTAGTTTGTTTGTAGGTAGGTTTGCAAACTAGTGTACTTTTCATTGCGTCTATCTTAAACTTCAGCCGTTTGCATTTCTCGAGGTCACAGAAGCTTCCTGTGAGTGTGATCTTAACTAAGTGCAGTTGTAAAGTGCAAACGCCTTTGCCTCACGTGAGTGTTGCTCCATTGGAACTAAAATAACAAACTTGCCTGCAGGTCGCACATCAGAAGCGCTGCTCGGCGACGTGCATTTTACAATTCTACTGTAAACATAGGTTTCTATCAGGGTACACACAATGGGCGCTTCAAGTCACCGGCTGTCCGCGGTGCCCAGCCAGGATTCGGGACACTTTATGTTTCTACCACGCCACAGAGTAGAGGTCTGCATTACCGAGGCTGTACCGTGGGAGCGAGCGAGCATGCGTATGTATGTGTGTGAATATGAGAGCGTGATGCTGCGTTTAGCTTGTTTGTTCCTGTGTGTGCGCGCGATTGAGAGAACTTTGTGCTGTCTGTCTGTCTGTCTGTCTGTCTGTGTGTGTGTGTGTTTTGTGTGTGTGTGAGAGAGAGAAAGAGCGTGATGCGGGTAGAAAACGGGGCGGGGCGGGTAGTGGGACAACAAATGCTAAATATAAGCGGGAGCGGTCGGGTTCAGGCTATAACCTGACGGGAGCGGGATTCAAAATTTAGTCCCACGCAGATCTCTACCACAGAGCGCCGTCTGAACATGCGAATGTCCTTGTCTGGTGTGCCATGTCGCAGCTCTAAGCGGGTCAACCGGTGCCTCAGTCTAAGTTAATTCACTGACCGTGGTTATTAGTCTCGGTGTACAAACTCGGCACTTTAAATTAGCACACAGTTGGCTGTAAAACTATACAAAGACACAAATGATTGTGTACTCTCTGCTTGGTCTGTGGCCGAGGCGTACATGTACGGCTGAATGCTGATCCTCTCATGCAGCC